TTTTTTAAAAGTTCTAATTTTATATTGTGGTGATGGATCCACAATGCTGAATATATTAAAAACCATTAAATTGTGCACTTGAAATGCATGAATTTTATGGTACATTAATTACATCTCAGTACAACTATTTAAATAAACAAAGAATAAATCCTTGATCTCATGGTTAGAAATTTACTGTATTTACTACTTTAAACAAAAAGAAATTTAATACAGGAAGTTAGGTTCTTGCAAAATTATTGAAAACCTAGAAAGTGGGCTGGGTCTCCAGGAATGACTCAGAACATCAATGCTACATTGCCCACCCATGGGAGCTATTGCCTCTGCCACAACCCAAAAGCTTGGGAACCGTTGTGTTCAAGAATTTGTCATTTTAGCTTTAATTTAAGGATCAGATGCTGCTGATTACCTCCCTCCCTAACACACATATACCCTGATCATCTCTGGACACCCATGAGTTGGTGATTGAACACTGAGACCATGGCTGCGGAAATCTCAGTGACTTTATAACCATCAGGAAATAACCAAAGCTGTGCATCTCACACATGTGCAGTTAATGGGTATGACCTAAACCCTAGGGTTTTTTCTAAACCCTAGCTGCAAGGGAATCTTGGAAATACCATCTTCCCCCTTCCAGCCCTTGCAGTACAGAAAGATACATAGGAAGAGATTGAAATGAATGTTGAATGAGCCAACCCACCACAACCCACAGCTGCAAGGTTGATCACTGTTTGCAATAGTGAAAAGATGGGTAACAAGATAATTGTACAGCAGGAGGTGTTTGATAAATTAGGCCTCACCTATGTGGCGAAATTCTAGATAACAAATAAATGTGTGCTGTATAATTACATATTGTGACTTGAAAAATGTTAGAACACACTGGGAAAAGGCAGGTGACAAAATAGTGCTCACAGGCCTTTCACGAGAGCAGGAGTGACCTCTGTCTTGTCCACCTGTGTACCCCACTGGCTGGCAGAGTGGGTGCTCAATAAACATTTGCTGGATGATTGGACATGATTTCATTTTTAGAAATTACAACCTTTTACAACCAGAGGGAAAGTGGGGGTGGGGGAGGAAGAAGGTAAAGGGGGGATAAATGGTGATAGAAGGAGACTCAGGGTGGTAAACGCACAGTACAATATGCAGATAATGTGTTATAGAATTGGACACCTTAAACCTATATAATTTTATTAACCAATGTTACCCCAATATATTCAATAAAAAACCATTTATATAGACACATAATTTAAATATGATACAGCAACACTGGAAGAAATACAGCTGAATATTAACTGTTGTTCTCTCTGGTAGTAATATTCGGAGTGAGTTTTACTTTCCACTTTTGGTTCCTCTATTTTACAAATTTCTAACATGCCTTAAAATCAGTTAGGGGAAAATCCCTACAGGTGTTCTGTTAAAGCCACGGGAAGAAAACATGCCTGCTGTGTTTCTTTGTCACCCACACATCCTGACACAGGGCTAAAGCTGTGCGTGCCCCAAGTCATGCCCGGTGACTACGTGGGTGCACCTCCATTCGCCACCTGAGGGATTTCTGGGTCACACTCAGGGAGCCTGAGGGTGGAATTAAAGGTCCAAGGTAGTCCTGACTCTAACACCATGGTGCGTCTTCCAGAGAAACCGGCCAAGTGCCAAAGCCATGTGACCTTTTCCAAGTGCCAGTGTCAAGTGCCTGCATAGGCTGTGCCAGGGTGAGGTCATGCTCAAGAATCTCTAAGAGCTAGACTGATAACTCAGCTCCACCCTGTACACCCGTCAGGCCCTGGGGCCATTGCTGCCTTGGCTGCCAAGCAGGTGGGACAGCACTGCTACCAGCTGGGCTCAGCCAGGCTGGGGTTTCAGTCCTTCTCGAGGGCTGTCCCTCCATATTGTGAGGACTGCCTCTGTGGAAGGCGTTTACTGCTTTCACGTACACAGCTGTCGAGGTCTTAGGTCACATTGAGAAGAGCATAGAGACCAGAATGAGAAACTTGAGAATCTCAATTGACTCAATCCCAGAGTCACAACTTAGGTTAGTGAGGTAGAGCAGCAAATTTGCAACTGGTGTGCTGCAAGGATTTGTAAAACATGCGATACCTGACTACTTAGTCGGGGCCACTGAGCTCCTTCCCTTCAGACTGTCAAATAAAAAAAATGACAACAGCCAACACAACTATAGCTGTCCGGTGTGAATGAAGCAAAATTATATCTTTCCTTTTGGTCATATCACCAAACAATATATATTTTGGTGTGCCACAGAATTTTAGTAATTAGCTTATGTGTTTCTCAAGATGAAACCATTGAAAACTACTGAGCTAGAGCATCAGCCTCGGTTTCCCTGTCTCCCCGAGAGGCAGCTTCTAACACACCTTCTGTCAGTGGACAGGACGCCTGGTAATAGCAGTTCTTCATTCTCCTTGGAGCCTTCGTAGGGCCCCAGAAAATTCGATAGTCAGCACCAGCCATCACCTCATCTATTACACCTGGTAGCTGGATGGGAAAACTGAGGCTCCGGAGGGGAAGGGACATGGTCAAGGTCACACAACCAGAAGAGGAACGTGTAAGAAGAGGGCTCCCATATCAACTGTGCTCTTCAGAGACTCCAGGGCAGGCCTGGAGGGGAGGAACTGAGAGAGGGACGTCGCAGAAGGATGGGAAAAGCTCCCCCACAGGAACTGCAAACCCACCCCAGCCTCAGGCTCAGTCCACCTCCAGAGCCCAGCTGGGACGAAATGCTTCCGCCCCTGACCAGCCGCGTTTTCCATGTTTGGCCTCAATTTGCTCACCTTTAAAATAGGGCCCTGCAATTATGATAATCACTCAATTCAGGCTCTAAAATGTCACGGTTAGTGGTTACATCATTATCTTCCCCACGCTCATTCCTAGTCTTGTCACTTCCCCATTTAAAAGCTTTTCCATGGCTCCCTGGGGCCTAACCGGAGCCTTGCATACAAGGATCTTTGTGGTCGGGGCCCTATTAAGATTCCCGGGCTTAATTCCTTGCAAGTACCTCTAAACTCCAGCCACACTCTTGGACACCCCCTTCGTATAAATTTTCCACCCTCTTTCTCACCTCTGTTGCCCCTTATAGGTACAGATAGGTCCCATGGCATCAAATGCTCCTCTTTGCCCTATCTGCCTACCTAACTCACCTTCACAGTGTAAAACCCAGATTCAGTGTCACGTCCTCCGTGAAGCCTGCCCTGATCTGCTACATAGAATTTCTCTCCCATCTGGGTTTCCTAAGGCCCAGGCCGTTTATGGGAATCACTATGTACACAGTGAGCACCTTGAACCTTGAAACCTGTCTGTTTCCTCCACTGGCCTGAGAGTTCCTAGACAGTAGGAACTGTGTCAAATTCATGACTCAGCCGATGGTAAGTGCTCGATAAATGTTCAATAAATAAATCACCCAGTAAATTAAGTAATCTCCTAAAAAAACACCCTCATGGCTCAAGCCCATTAAGGATCTCTAGACAATGGGAGCCCTTTCTGGGCCTTAGTGACCCTAGCTGTAAAAGGGCAAGGCTGAAATAATTGGCCTCTGAGGGCATGACCTCTCTCTCCCCACTAGCTGTGACCAATCAGACTGCAGTGATGCTGTCAGCCTCCTTAAAAGCTAATTCAGCTGAAGAAGAAATTGAGACGCAGAAGAGAGTTAGCAGTCTCCAAGGTTCCACGGCGTCTAACGTGTGTGGTCAAAGCTTCACCCATCACTACTGGGTTTCCTTTACACTCACTTCTGCAGACACAGCGCACACTTCTTGGGCAGCCACTCCATGCCCAGGTCCCCTCATCAGGGAAGAGCGTCTCAGGCAGAGGGAACAGCCAGTGCAAAAGCTCTAACCTGGGAGCATGGTAGGCAAGCTGAGGGAACGACGATGAGGCCAGAGTGGTGGGGTCCGAGTGAACAGGGAAAGGATGGCCAGGGAGGAGGTCAAAGCACAGCAGGGTCAAACCATGGCATTACTGGGGGCCTAATGAGAACTTGGGCTTTAATCAGAGTGAAATGGGGAGCCATTGCAAGTTCTTGAGTGGAGTAGTAGCATGATCTGACTTACATTTTAAAGGGGTCCCTCTGGCTGCTTTGTAGAAGGCAGGTGGAGGAGAAAGGCAAGAGAAGAAGCAGGGAGACCCACTCCAGCTGAAGGACAACAGTGGCTTGGACCACAGTGGCTTGTACCACAGTGGTGGCAGTAGGAGTTGTTGGACAGGGTTGGATTCTGGAGATACTTTTAAGGCCAAGTCATCAGTACCTTGGGGGTGGTGGGGGCAGAGAGTCAAGGCTGACACCAAGGTCTGGACCCTGAGCGGATGGAATGGTAGTGTTGCCCCCTACTGAGAGGGGGGACTGTCAGAGGAAATGGGTGGGGGTGGGGAGCCCAGAATTGTGGGGGAGGCAATCGGAAAGCTGAGTCTGGAATTTTGGAGAGCAGGCAGGGCTGAAAATGCAACTGTGTGAGTCACCCGTATACAGACGGTGTCTAAGGTCACAAGGCTGGCAGAGCTCTTCCTGGGACTGTTGTGGGGATTGAAGGAGGTGATGGATGGAAAACACAGGTCCCTGCACACCGGAAGTGCTTAGCCAATGATTACACAGCTGCTGAAGTCGTGGCTGTCGCTGGGATGTGTGACTTTGGGATTAAGTTGTGAAGGACAGATCAGCACAAGGAACAGCACTGGCACCTCCCTAGCCGGGCCTCCGTCCCCTGCTGGGACACTGACGCCAGCCTCCTCTCTGCTCTCCCCATATCCCTCCTCCCCCCCCCCCCAAACAACTCGCCCCTTCTAGGAGAGGCATTTTGCAAAAAGCATGGTTTTGCAGTTTGGCAGGCCTGGTTCTATGCAAGCGTGTCAGTTTCCCCACTTAGTAAAGGCTTTCACAAAAACCACTTGAGGTGGCTGAACTGAGTTTGCAGCCCCCTGTGAACCTGGGAGGGAGGATTAATAAGGGCCAGAGTTTTGCTGACCTCTTCCCCCTGGGGATATCCCAAAAGGTGTCCTACCTGGGCTCCAGCAAGGCAATCCCTCGGGTGTCTTGGAGTTCCAGGTCTAGCGAGATGCACTTTTCCCCAGGGCTACTTGCAGCAATCAAGAAGGCGTGGCAGTGGGGGTGGCCAGTAGTGGGGGGTGGACAGTAGTGGGGGGTGGCCTGATGGGTGCAGCCTTGACAGACCCCAGAGCCCATCCAGAAGTGTCGCCCAGTGACCTGCTACAAGCTCCTGCTCTCTCTTCTCCTCTGGACATTGGGTGACAGAACCATTCATCCTGTGGACAGAGAACCACTTGAGATAATGACAATGTAAGGCCTTGTGGGGCCAGGTGAGGATGACAACAAACCAGGAAAATCCTGTCCACACAGAGCTGGCACACAGTAGGCACACGACAACAGTACCATCCCCTCTCACCACGCCCCAGAGCTGACTCCGGGGAGAGAGCAAATGGAATCGAAGGCCTCAAAGCCCTTGGAAACAAGGAGTCTTGAAAAGAGCCAACATTTGTGCCGCTTTTCCCCGTGCCCACTGCTCTGCCATGTGATAAACCCTTTATTCTCGCATCTGGGGGGTCGGTACTCCCATTATCCCCATTATTTGGGTGAGAAAACTGAGGTGCAGAGACTCGAAGGTGTTTGCATCAGGTCAGGCAGCTGGGAGCTGCGGACCCGGGAGCCCTCCCTCTGTCTGCTCTGCCTACCGGCTTCCTGATAAGGCTGGAGACTGTCCCCAGAACCCAGAGAGGGCCGTGACCTGAGGAGAAGGCGAGTTCTGATGGAGGACTTGTCCTGGTGCAAGATGCAGCATTGGTCACTTCCCTCCCCCCACCGCCTCTCCATCCCCCAGCAAGCCCACAGCCCTGACAGGGTTAAAACCTAACTTGAGCCTCCAGGGAGAGCAGAGGGTGATTTGTCTTCTCTTTTCAAAGCTAAAAAAAAAGGGAAGAAGAAGAAGAGCCTCACCTGTCAGGTCTCATTTAGAAACTTGCACATTCTGGAAATACTGGCGAAGAAAGGGGGCTGCATCCCTGGGAAGCGTCTCATCCAAAAGGGTGACGCTAACCCAACGTGACAAGGGAGTTTTTCCCTCCAGCCAGGAAGGCGGAGACTGAAAATTGCTCTTCTGGGGGGTCAGCCAGCTGGGGCACCAGCTCAGGAAGTCATTGGTGGGGCAGCTGTGGGGTTGAGGCTGGGGGACCCCACCCCCACTTGCTCCACTTCCTGTCATTGTTTATCAGAAGATAAGGCCTTGGACTCCCCTTGTGTAGTCACTGCATGTCAAAATCACAGATTCTAGGGCATCAAAAATTCATTATTTGGTTGAACCTTGGCATTTCTCAAATGAGTAAACAGAGGCCCAGAGAAAAGGGGGTGAAGCCCTTATTTGATCAACTGTCAGTCAAGAAACATTTGTGAGAAGCCACGTTGATGAAGATGCTCACCTCCTACCAAGGTGCCCAGGGACTGAGAAAGGCAGCCGGGCGAACTTCGTGACTTTAATTTGGATTTAGGTTGTGGGCAAGAAGGGGCCACATACTAAACCTGACAAACTCACAGGAGGCGGCCTTACAAACTCAGACACCTGCAGTCACCAGGTAGGATCGTCTGACACTAAAGCTTTTTAACTAAAAGCAGCTCATGGCAGGTAGTCACGTCCTCGGCCAGCATCTTCCCTGACAAAGGTCATCTTTACTTTAACTGAGCCTGTCTGTTGTCTTTCTGCCTCTAGGATAACATACCTTTGGAATGTCCAGGTAAACTCCCCTTTTCCCCCGCGGGCTCAACCAGGCAACCAGAGCAGAGACCACAAGTCCCTCAAGGTTATTGTCACCATGTGAATTATTGACTGTTAGTTTCCCATGCCCATCTGTGTAAAAGAAGTGTGCGTCTACCCTTTCACTTTCTCTCCAATCCCCCGAAAGGGTCCCCCTTCATTTTCTACCACCTCCCTAACTCCCTAATCTATCACCAATGGATTTCATGTAACCCCCCCCCCCTTATACCTCTTCTGGCGATGTAAGGCGCAAAGCTGTCACTTTCTGGAGCATTTCCTCGATCGGCTGAGGTTTTACTTTCCAGCGATTGGCATCGGTGTGGCTCAGATAAACTCGCAGAACTTCTCACAGGTTTGGACACACTGTGCAATGACAAGTTCCTGTCGTGTGGTCTGGCAAAGGTCACTGAGGCTCTCTGAGCCTCGGTCTCCTCCATAAAGTGAGGAGTGTCACTGAGAGCTGCACAGAATTGTTGGGGAAGTTAAATCAGGCAAATGGAAGGGTCTCTATTCAGCTCTTTGGTTGCACCAACAGGCAGATTCAGGCCAGCTTAACGACATCCAAAAAACCAACTGGAAGGACCTGGGGAATGGCTCACACATATTGATAAGAAAAAGAAAAAGAAGAAACAAAACCCAAAATATATGTCCACACAAAGAGCTCTATTCCTAATTGTCCAGAACGACCCTGATGCCCTTCCGCTGGTTAATGCGTAAACAAACAGTGGTGCATCCGTTCCATGGAATACTACTCAGCCACAAAAAGGAACAAACTGAGCAGCAACGTGGGTGGATATTGAATGCATTATGCTGAGTGAAGGAAGCCAGACTCAAAGGACTGCAAACCATAGGACGGCATTGCTATGGCATTCTGGGAAAGACAAAACCAAAAGAACAGCAACCAGACCCATGGTTGCCAGAGACGGAGGGAGGGGGAGAGAGAATTGCCTGCAAAAGAACAGGAGGAAAATCTGAGGAGTGAAGAAAATGCCCTACATCACGCTTTTGATGCAGTAACACGACTAGATATGTCAGCCAACTTGGCCTTGCACACCTGGAACGGGTGCATTGTTTGTAAACTGTAACTCAAAAAACGCGATGGGAAGGACATCGAACAGAAAGCTCACAAGCCCAGCTTCAGAAAAGACAAGAAATGAGACACTTCCAGGAATGGAACTTGAACTGTTATGGGAACACGTCAGAGGTGTTGCGGGTCTGCTTCCAGGCAACTGCCATCGCAGGAACGTGACTCACCCCACCGCTGGGGTTTCCCAGCACATATAAAAGTTACCTTTACACTGTACTGCAGTCTATGAAGTGTGCGATAGTATTGCGTCTAAAAAAAAGCAAAGCCTGTGCCTTAATTAAAAATACTTTACTGCTGAAAGTGCTAACCATCCATCCGAGCCTGTTGGAAAACGGCGCCGGCAGATTTGCTCGATGCCACAAACCTTCAATGTGTAAAAAAAATGCAGTATCTGCCAAGCGTAAGCCAAGTACAATAAAATGAAGTATGCCTGTGTTTAGAACTCGTGTGGGAGCTGTGAGTTAACGTCCCAGGAGAGAATCAGATTGGCCGAGTGTGGGTCCCGGGCCCACCTCCCACTAGAGTTGTACGCTTGATTGGCAGCACCTGCAGCAAAGGGTCCTCACCCAGAAGTAAAATGGTGGAGGCCCTGCCTCTGCAGTCCATCACCTGCAGAGGCCTGGAGATATTGGGGTTTATTGTCCTGAACACGGACGCTTCCCCTTCCTGGAATGAGGTCAAGCTTCCCATCTCTGTGACGTTGGGACATGATGACTGCAAGTCCCCCTTCGGATGTAAAAGTCGGGTTTCAGATTAATTGGGTCAAGCTGAGTGTGACTTCAGACTCACTAGCATCCAGTTCAGACAGACAGGCACTCAAGGGGCTCATCAAATGGGCAGGAGACACAGCGGTCAGTTCATCTAAACATGTCGGCCGCTGCCCTAGAGCGTCATTTATTTCCGTGGAAGAAAGTGTGTTTGACTCTCATTGACTGAGATGGGTGTGGCAGGCAGACACCACTCGTGACTCAGCCCAAGGTGGGGGAGGGCGCACACTGGGTGGCGTGTTTGCCCTGTCTCCCTCTAGCAGCCCCAAATGGCCTTGGGGGCTTGGCCGGTCACCTGCCCCAAGGCTTAACTGCCCTCTGTGACACTCTTGCCATATCGGTTACAAGCAGGGACTTTGGAGCCCTTGCCCTGCCTCTTCCAAGCTGTGTGACTTTGGGCAAAGGCATTTCACCTCTGCACCCCCTTCTAACAAAGCGAGAGGTTTTTTGAGCACTGTCTTGGATTGTGTGTGTATGTGTGTGTGTGTGTGTGTGTGTGTGTGTGTGTAGGAGCACTCTAGAAGCATATTAAGACATAAACAGAGCTTCTAAGTAAACCTGAATTCAGTGTGCGGTCTTCGAAATTCCCGTTTTCAGATGTGGGAACTCTTACTGGCAAAGGGGGATGATGAATTTCCTCTTTATGCAAGTGCTGTGCTCGTGGGTTTGGTGTTGTAACCCTGTGCCAATATTGACAAAGTTGTTTAATGGGCCCATGGTGGGTTTCTTTTTTTTGACACATTAATTTTCTCTTTTATCTCTGTGTATATTTTCTCAACCTACTTTGCCAGGATTTCTTTATTTTGGAGTATTTCCATTTTTATGAAAGCTCAATTCTAAATGTAAAACAGATTATCCTTTTCTTTCTTTTTCAAATCCTCACCCAAGGAATGTTTATTGATTTTGGAGAGAGAGGAAAGGGTGAGGGGAGAGAGAGAGAAACATCAATGTGAGAGACAAACATTGACCAGCTGCTTCCATGCACGTCCCAACCAGGGACAGAACCTGAAACCTAGGTATGTGCCTCCCTGACGGGGAATCGAACCCACAACCTTTTGGTGTAGGGACCACACCCCAGCCAACTGAGCCGCCCAGCCGTGGCTCCCTTAGCTTTCTGATTGGAGACTGGGACAATATTTGCAAAGGCTTCCCGAGTTTTATTATTAGCTTTTTTCCCAACCACCATTTTTTTAAAAAAACTGTTGTTTAAGATGTAAATGGTGCCCTGTAAAATTTATTTCTTTAAAGTGTGCAGTACAATGGTTTTTTAGTGAATTCACAGGGCCGTGCAACCCAGCCACACTCTAATTTTAGAGCATTTTCTTCACCCCCAAAGAAAGCCCATTCCCGAGGCAGTAACCCCACCTGCCCCTTCTCTGTAGCTCCTGACCTCCACCCATCTGCTTTCCAGCTCTATCAATTTGCCTATTCTGGACATTTCATATACATGGAATCATAAAATATGGGATCTTCTGTGACTGGCTTCTTTCACTGAGCGGAACAGCTTTGAAGTCCCCGCGTGTCGAAGCGCGATCCGTATTTTACTTCTTTTTATTGTCAAATAATCAGCCACCCTTTTTGAGTGCTAGCTCTCTGGCAGGCATGGCGTTCGTTGATCCTCACAGAAAGCCTGTGAAGTAGGCACAGTATTGTCCCTATTTTACAAACGAGGAAACCGGGGGCTTGGGGGGATGCTGGGACTTACCCAGAACCACACAGGAAAGTGAATGGCAGAGCTGAACTTGAACCCAGGTCTTTTGAGCTCCCAAGCCCGTGTGCTTGGAGCGGAGCCACATGGCTGCTAGATGAAGCAGGAAGGGAGTGGAGAGTCTCTCGTGAGCTCAGTGTGCACATCACAAACTCTCTTCATTGACAGGATGCCTCTGGGTCACTGTCAGGATTGGCCCATGAGGCTGGACGGGGTGAGCAGGGCAATTTTCCCCTCCCCAAAGGGCCCCAGACATTACCGGCGCCAGAGGCCCTGGGCACTCCTGTGCTTTTTTTCTGACATCTCCCTCCCTTGGCACCTCCCACCTTTGCTGTTTCTTCTCCCCAGTCCTAATGTCTTAACTTCTAATCTTTGAGGGCCATTATATCAGGTTAGGATGTTGTTGCCTTTGGATTAAAATCACGTGCCAAATAAGTGATAAGTGGTTGTGAGTAAGGGTCTGAACAGGCAGCTTTCCTATGAGTGAAGCAAATTTTATGGCCCGAAATGGTCAGGACTCCACTCTCCCAAAATCCTAAAACTCACCATCGCCTGTGGTGTCTGGACCTTAAGAAATGGAAGCACTTAATAGTGATGACAATACTAGAATCAATTTATTCTGCTTGGAAGGGGTTTTGCCTTTATTTTAGGATCTCCTTCTCTGAGCCCAGTGGGCTAGGAGTTTTGAGGGGATTGTTTGTTTGTTTGTTTGTTTGTTTTTCTTTCTTTCCTTTTTTGTTTTGACTGCGTTTAAGGCCACGCAGCTGATAAGAGCAATGAAAGGGGGTCCAGGATGGAGCCTGGGGTTACTGTCCTCCACGTCAGCCCCCCGCCATGCCGCTCACCACTGATGTCACCACGCCACCCTCACGTTCCACCCCACTGCAAAACAACTCCCACTCCCAAATTAAACAAAAGCAGCTTTCTAAGCTTTCAAAATTGAGGGTAGAGGTGCTGGGCCAGCACGTACTTTTCCAGGGTTTGGGGCTCCCCAACTCTGCCCAGACTTGCGGGGGGTCTAGGGAAGCTGTTTGCCCTCTAGGTCTCTGAGGCTCAGCAGCGGGTCTTCCTGCCCCTGGGGCTGTAAGAGATGGGATTGGAGGGTCGGCTGAGCTCAGACCCCTGGTCTCCGACGGAGGCCACCAGGCTTGCCAGAGGCCACAGTACCACACCCTGGTCCCTGGTCCTGCCAAGGGCAACTGGCTATCCCCAAAGATTGGCTCAGGGTTGGACAAGCCTCTCTCTCTCTTTCTCATTCATTCAACAAATATTTACTGAGCAGCCATGAAAGCAGGTGGGCAGAGGGAGGGAGAGACACTGGTCCTCAGATGAGGCCAGGTGGAATTTTGGTAGGTGAAGAGGGGCGGAGGGGGGCACCCCAGGTACAGGGCACAGCTTGAGGAAACACTTGGCGGGGAGTAAAGTTGCAGCCTGCTTTTGGAGGCTGGTGCGGTTTCTGGGGAGGCTGGAGCGTACAGATGTGGGAGATGCGATCGGAGGGTGAGTGGGGCCAGATCTCCGGGGCCTCAGAGGCCAGGCCTGGGAACTCAGGCTTTCCCCTGAGGGGTTTCGGGAGGGAGGGGTGAATTCCAACAGCATAGATGGGATTCTCCAGTTTATAGGAATGAAAACTGAAGCCTCAGTGGGGTGAACTGAAGTGCCCACACCCACAGAACTTAAGTGGCATAGTTGGGGCTGAGATCCTACGCAGGGACAGGGTCAGTGGGGTGGGGGATGTGTTGTGGGTGGGCTGAAGACGCCACGAACAGGTCAGTTTTCCATCTGCAAAATGGACACCTTGGCAGGGCCACCCCCATTGGGAGTGATGTTCTCTGTTCCCCACAGCCTGGGGCACACAGACCCTGGCTCCGACAGGCCACCAGCCACAGTCCCTCTCAAAGGGCATGAGAGGTCACACCTACCCTGTGACCTTTTCTCCAAGTCTCCAGTTCTAGCCCCTAACTCAGCCCACCCCACCTCCGGGGAGCTTGGTCCTGCCCTCCCCGGACTTGCTCATGCCAGACGCTGCTCATCCGCCATTAGTCACCGGATGGTAGGACAGCCGAGGCCGTCAGATGCCCGGTCACTGTCCCACCCACTACTGTCCTGTCCTCTCACTCCTCTCAGCTCGGCCACCCAGGGCCATCTCTTGCCTGTGGGCCCCTTGTCCTTGGGGAATGGCTCAGCCAGGCCGGGGCCTGGGAGCCCAGTTGCACTGGGTGACCTCAGCCTGTTTCCCAACCTCTTTGAACCTCGATCTTTTCCATTTCCTTCCTTTCCTTCCTTCCATCCTCCCTTCAGCTCTCTCTGACTCACCCCCCCACCCCGTCTCATGACACAAACATTTATTGAATGTCCACCTTACATCAGATAACGGTGGGTGGGAAGCAGGACCGCACTCGCCCAGGGCCGTAGGGCTCGGGACCCAGGCCTCTGAAGCCACAGCCCCAGGCAAGGAGGAGCATGGCTGGGTGCAGCACTGACTTTCCGACCACCGAAGGGTCAGCGCTGGCTTTCGAATCAAGGCCAGACTTTATGCCCCGCTCCCTGACTGTGTGACCCTGGGCAAGTCACGTCCCCTCGCTGAGCCCTGTTTTCCTCATTTAACAGATGATAGAAATTATACAGTTTTACATGGGACGCCTGGCTGGTGACAGGTGACTCAGAAGTTGTAAAAGTGTACCTTTGTCTTTACGTCAAGGCGCTGAGATCCTGCTGAAAGTGAACTTATTTGTCTATTGGTGGGGTCCAGGCATCAGTGACCCTGGGCACAAGGCTTATTAGGGATGCAGGGAGTTCTTCTGAGCACCCCCCAAATATTCTACATTGTTTGCCACCTGCGTCACCTACACACAGGAACCTCACTTCTGCAGGGGGCGGCAAGTCCTGGCCCTTAACATCCTCACGATGGGGGGATGTTTCAGGGGCCATTTCTTGAGAACTTACCGCATGCTCAGCACCAAACAGATGTCTCTAACCCCAGAAGGTGGGGACTCTTACGATACCCATTTTACGGAGGAGGAAACTGAGGCTTAGAGAGGTCTAGTGACTTGCTCGAGGTCACACAGCCGAGCGACCTCAGATCCCGCCGACTCTGACCATCACGCAGCACTCTCCTTGCGCAGAATGATAAAGAGCTGCTACCTGTGTCATAGGACAGGGGCGTCCAACTCATTTTCACCGGGGCCCACAATTGCCTTCAAAGGGCTGCATGTCATTTTAGGACTGTATAAATGTAACTACTCCTTAATAGTTAAGGGAGAGCTCGGCCCTGCCTGGGGGTAGAAACAAGGTGCCAGGCCGGATAAAACAGGGGGAGGGCCGAATTCAGCCTGTGGACCTTGCGTTAGGACCTGGGCTATAGGGGTCTCTTGAGCCCACGACCGCCCTCTTTAGGCCTCTGTTTCCCTTCCAAGAAACAGGATTTTGGATCTTTACTTGCCCAAAGATGGAAGACAAGGCAGGGTTCCAGTTCCCCTGAATACACTGGAACACTGAGGCCCAGAGTGCGGAAAGGGCCCCTGGTCACTGGCGCTTGAGATCCAGGCCTGTGGACCCAGCCGGGGCTCTGGCCTCTGCCTGCCACTGCTCGGAGGCCGATGCTGACGCAGACTGGCCCTGTCCTGGGGTTGCACCTGACATCGAGTCCCTCAGGTGACGAAGTTCCCAGGTAAGGGGAGAGGAAGGAGACTGGCTGAGTCAGGGACGGGCCAGGACTCTGTGCCAAGCCCCGTGCCTACACGGAAAGGACCTGATGGCTATTCTAAAAAGACTCGAGTGCACTGTGTCTCCCAGGGAGCTCCCAGGCGGGGGTTATAAAGAGAAATTAGCACCAAGTGAAACAGAACTTATCGTTTTCATTGGAAAAGAACGAATGAAGGCAAAATCCATCTTTTCATTTGGGGCAGGGCTGGCATTTGTGTACCACACAGTTCGCAGCCTCCCTTCTGCAAAGCCACACTGTCCCTGTGCCTCCTGTTTCTCTCTGAGGTCCTTGTCCCCCAGGGCCATGATCTGGGACACTTGGCATTTTTAATCCAAAACTCAGGGGCCCCAGTTATGGAGTGCTCATTACATGCCAGGTGCCCGACTTCAGCCCTTTCCATTGAGCCTTACTCCAGCCATGTGAGGGATAAATTCTTATCCCCATTTTGCAGAGGGGAAAACTGAGACCTGGGGAGCCAAAAATACCTGCCCGTGGCCCCACAGCTGGTCAGGGGCAGAGTGGGAATGCAAACCCTGGCTTCCAGACTGGTGTTCACTCACCTTGGTCAGCCACTGAGCTCTAGCCAACGTCAGGGGAGTTTCTGCAGCAATAGCTGTAAAATGGGGCAGTTACAAGGTTCACCCATGGGGCTATTTTAGAGGTCAGCAGGACCCAGCACCGTGTCACGAATTCGTCCACTAAGACCCCAGGCAGGACCTGTGTGACCCAGGGACACACACACCACTAAAGCAACACAGGTTTGTTCCCTGAACAGCGCCACCAGGAATGGGAACTGGGGCCAGTTCTGTAGCCCAAAGTCATCAACAGATATAGAACTTATTCCAGAAAAGGGGACTCAGGGTGGGGAAGAAGCATAGGAGGCTGGGGGACCAGAGGGCGTGGGTAAATGATGTCTCCCCCTGCAGGGTGCTGGGTGGGAGGGGTCAGAGGCTGAGTCTCTGGAAAGTTGTCTTTTTTCCCTTCTGACACACAATAGGCCTGCGAGGACGACTTGAACGAGAGTGAAGACAGGGTGGGGTGCAGGCAAGGGTGCGTAGAGGAACAGGTGAGTGGATGGGCAGGTAGATAGATGGGTAAATGGGCGGTGGGTGAGTGGGTGGATGGGTAGGTGGTTAGGTGGACTGAGGAATGGATGAGAGAGACAGCCTCCCTGGGTTCCGCCCCAGGAGGAGATGTGTGGGTGTCTGTCCCAGTGGGCACGTCTGCCTCTGCACACGAGTCCGTGTCTGTGAGTGTGCCCGCCTCGGAGCTCTCCAGGTACCCACATCTTGGCAGGCCTGTGGGTGCCCCAGTCTGACTGTGTGTCTGCATCTGATGGCACCTTGGTGTCTGTGAGCTGGGCACATCTGGACATCTGCATCTCAGTGTGTGGTTCTTGGCGGGCTCCTGTCTGCCTGCCTGTGTTTTAACCTGCCTGGGGTTTTAACCTGATTTTGTGTCCATGTCACTGTGTGCCCAGGTTTGTCTGCTGTATTGCAGGACTGTGTGTCTGTGTCCGCCCCACGTGAGTCTGTACCTGCAGGTTCGTACTTTTCTCTCTAGGTGTCTTTGTTCCCCCAGGTCTGACACTGTGCGTCCAGGTGTGTCTGTGTGTCCTGATCTGAGTGTGTGCTCCTGTCCTTGCTGTCCCAGCCCTGTGCTCAGGCCGCTCCCCCAGGGGGAGCCCTTGCCTTTCTACCGCTCCCTCCTTGGTACTCCTTGGTACTCCTGTCCCAGCCGGCAGGCCAGCCGGCCAGACCAGACTTAGCGGCCTCATGAGGTCCCCGCCTTCCTTTTCGGTCCCGCCCCCGGCCCGCCCCAAAGCGGGTTATAAATTCCCAGGTCTCAGCCTCCAGCACAGTACCGTCTGCCAGTGGTCTGCACTTGGAGGGTCCTGCCACCAGTACAAAGCGCCACTGCCTCCACCGCCTGACCATGGCTGAGGGTGAGTATTAGGGTCAGCGCTGCTGTGCTCAGGGGCCCCCGTGACTGGCTGCTCCTCCATGGTCTCGGTGGTCTGCCAGTGCGGCTGGGGTCAGGACAGGCTGGGGTTTATCCTGGAGGGCTGCGCTGGGCGCCAGATGCCTGCTCCCAGGCCTGGGCTTGGGGCCTGCCTGGGCTTGGGGCCTCGGATTTCCCAGGGTGGGGTCATTCACCCCTGCCTCCCTAGACCGGCGAGGCAATGGCACAGGAAGGTAAGCTGCAGACTGTGGGGCACTGTGCCAGCGGACCATCATTCCTACCCCCAGTAGGTCAGCTGGGCTGCGTCTCCGCTGTGTGCCAAGTGACACAACGCAACGCAGGGGTCGCTGGCCTGGCCTCACAACACGCAGCTTTGGCTAGTCCCTGCCAGCTGTAAGGAGGCGCGCACGCGTTCCTGGTGGTGCACAAGCCAGCCCTGGCTGACTCTTCGGTCCCAGGGGCCAGAGAGGAAGTTCCAGCATCCCACGGAGGAGCAGGCTGAGAGCAGGCGTGTTCTCTCAGGTCCCTACTGGCTCTCGAGTTCTAGTCCTCGGCTCCTTGTAGAGCCTCAGTTTCCGCTGCTGTAAACCAACCATGATGATGATGCCGACCCTTGGTACACCTGGAGGGCCGAGAGGAGTGGGGGAGGGGCTCAGTTGCTTTCCTACCTGCCCTCCCTGCACACACAGGCAGTGCCACCATCCTGGGGGAATTTCTGAAATGAGGGATGTCGGTCCCAGCATCCCGGATGGCTCTTGGGTCAAGGCCATTTGCAAATGACCTCTGCACTTGGAAGGAGCCATGGGGAGAGGGAATGAGGTGAGGGATATGGGGCAGTTGGAGCAGGGTTGAGTGGGAGGAGCTATGAACCTGCTGGACCTGCTGTGTGACCTCAGGCCACCCTCGTCCCTCTCTGGGACCCAGCTCCCAATGTGTGGGATCAGAATCCAATTCAGGCCTGAATGTGACGTGTCACCAAGGTGACCACTTATCCCCAATGCAGCTCCTCATCCCTGTCCCCAACAGCGGGGCTCAGTCGGACTGAGAGACCTTGGAGGTGCCAGTTATGACGAGCCTTCCACCCCGTTGCCAGAGGGGCCACTTCCTACAGGAGTCCCCCACAGTGGAAGACCTTGGGTCCTTCCTCAGGGCAGAAGTCCTCGGGCATCAGATCCTTGTATTTCTGTACCTTTGGAGCTGGGTGTGGCTTTTAGAAATCTTTCTTCAGAGAAGAGCCTGGGAGTGGGGACTGACCACCTCTCCGAGGTCTCCCGGGGACACCAGCGCTCTCTCCTGCGTAGGCCACCAGAAGTCCCTCCTTCCTATGGAGAGGCCTCTCCTGCTGTGATTGCAGAGGGTCGGCTTCCCGATGTTCCCTCTTTGGCTGGAGAATAGCATGGGGACAAGGTGGGGGAGAAGGAGGGGTACGTGTATGTAGAGAACAAACCTGCGCTGTGAGTAAGGTGGTTACTCCAGAAACGGCAGCCCTGTGTTCAAACTCCAAAGTTGCGCTTTGCCGTGGAACCTGGGGCCACATAATGTCTATTTTGTACCTCATTTGTGGGACATTCCATGGCAAGAGGCAGGAGGCCTGAAGTGATGTCCCAGTGGAAGGATTCACTTGTAGGGTGACTTTGGGTAAACCCCTACCCTTGGGCCTCAGTTGGACCACATACTCCCCTAGGGCCCCAGCACGCTGAGAATCTGCCTTTCCCACTTCCCCCACCCTACGGGCTTCCCAATCTTGACCTTGAGCTTGCCAAGGTTAGTGAGATCTGTGCTTCCCTCAGACCCCCACCCACCCCATTCCCCCTACCCCTACCCTGGTCTTCAGCTCCCTCTGAAACTATAAATAGAATATTCCCAGAACAAGCTCCTGCTTGCCAGGGGAGGCCCGGTGGCGGGGAGGAGGCTGTCCTAACACCCTCTGCTGGAGCTCCCAGCAGCCCCTCGAGGCTTCAGCGAAGGAAGCAGAGAGAGAGGCAGCCATCCGGGGCCACAGAGCAGCACAGCAGGACTAAAGCCTGGCTCCAGAAGACTCCCGGATCCCTGTCCCTTAAAAAAACTTTTATTATGGCCTTGACCCAGTGGTCCGGTTGGCTGGAGTGTCGTCCATGTGCTAGGCGGTGAAGGGTTTGATTCCCAAGCGGTAAAGACATATGCTTGGGTTGCAGGTTGATTCCCCGTTTGGGGTGCTTGTGGGAAGCAACCAATGGACGCTTCTCTCTCCCTTCCCCTCTCTGAAACATATCCTCAGGTGAGGATTTATAAAAAAACAAACCTTTTATTATAGAGAATATTGAGCATACATAAATGTAGAGAGAGTGGTATAATAAACACATATGTTCTCAGCCACCATCGCCAATGGTTACCCCAGCCTCCTACAGCCCAGCCTGACCCCCACTGCATTATTTGGAAGCATCGTTTCATCTGAAAATATTTCAATATATCTTTCTAAAAGATAAGGAGTCTTTAAACATAAACTAATGAAAGTTCCTTAATAGCACCATTAGTCCATCAGTATTCAAATTTCCGGTTGCCTCCTATATGTAATAAATGGTGTTAAATCGTTTTTTAAAATCTAAATAAGACTCACATAGCACAAAGGCTTGGAATGTTTCTTAAGTGCCTGTTAATATATAGGTTCTCCCTTCAACTTTTTTCCCCCATATTTTTTTCTTCTAGTTTAGTTGTGAAAGAAACCAAATACTGTGCCTTCGGGCACAGTCCTCCTCACAGAGGACTGAGTGTGCATTCTGTTGATTGTGTCCTGGTTCTTTGTTTAAAATGTTCCTCAATCCTCTCTCTGTATTTCTTGTAAACTGGATGTTGAACCTGAAAGGCAAAGGCTATGTAATTAACCTATACCAAATACTGCCCTTGCTTTAACCAAAAGAACCTTCCCACCCCCACAGTGAAAGAATGGCTCGAGTTTACTAATCATTTACTATGTGCCAAGCACTGTGCCAACAAGGCGCATGGTGGGGGGTCACAGCTGGCTGAGGGGTGCCACCCAGGCTCATGCCCCTCACTGTCTCCGCAGATCTGGTCTTGGAGAGATGTGACCTGGAGCTGGAGGCCAATAGCCGTGACCACCACACGGCAGACATGTTCCAGAAGGGGCTGGTGGTGCGGCGGGGCCAGCCCTTTCGGATAACACTGTACTTTGAGGGCAGAAACTATGAGGCCAGTGTGGACAGACTCACCTTCACTGTCGTGACTGGTAAGTGCCTCTACCCTGAACTCGCCCTGTTCTGGGACATCCTTGTCCCTTGACAGTCCGTGGGACAGGTGACGCCATCCCTCTTTGCCCCCTGGAAAATTCCCAGCAGTCACAGGCCCATCCTACAGATGAGGGAACTGAGGCCTGAAAGTTGAGAGATGTCGCCCCAGGCCACCCAGCTTTGTAAACAAGTCTATGCTCTTACCTACCTGAGTTCCTAAAAACCTGTCATCACTGGGGCTGGGGTTGAGGTCATGTTTGCTCTTTCCCACATTAAAACAACTTTCCCAAAATCCATGCAACCCAACCAGGCCTCTAGGACCGGGCCCAGATCCCATCCGGGTGGTCGAGAGAACCCAGCTGTCTCCAGCCCCTGCAAGGCTGCCTCAGGCTCGGGGCTGCACATACAGACCTGGGTTCTGGTGCAGACTGGGCTGCCCATCTGCTGTGTGATGTGGAGCAAGTTGATCAACCTCTCTGAGCCTGAGTTTGATCATGTGGAAAGCAGTCCTGGTGGAGGGTTGTTAAGAGAGAAGGGCCTACTTTGGGGGGGTGGCCTGTAGATATTAGTGACTGTTGCTGATTTTGCTCCAGGGGCTCCAGAGATGGGCAAAAAGACATCACAGCCCCAGTCACCCCATTTCCAGACACCCAGTGCCCAGTCTTGGGAAAGTGGCTTCGAATGCCAAACCAGTCGCTTTGGCTTCTGGTAGAAACCACTCCCTCGAGGTCAGTGAGGGGCCACATGGCTGGGACTCTGGCCCAAGGGTGGGAAAGGCCAGCTCTTCCTGAGGTCTCTGAGGGCAGACGGAGCAGCCAGCAGGGACTACGCCCACCTGGCTGAGGCCTGAATTTACCTGGGAGCCCGTTTGATAGCGCTTATTACAGTGCCTGCAGACTGGCCTCGGATATCCCCTCCAGCCCTGGCCTCCCTTCCCCTTCCCTTCTGGCAGAGACACACCCACTGCCCAAGGGCACACACCCAGCACCCGTGGGGCCCTTTCTAACAGAGGGGCCTCTGGCCAGTCTCTGATCCTCAGTGTCCTGTCTGTGAAGTGCCAAGTGGGAGCATCTGACAATGGTGCTCTGAGAAGAGCTAAGCTTGGCATGACAAAGATCGCATCTACGGAGCACCTACTACATGCTCGTTCCGAACCCCGCCCCCATCTTGGAAGGAGAGGGAACCCCCATTTTACAGAGGGGAACACTGAGGCTCAGAAAGGTCAAGTTACTTGCCCTGGTCACACAGTGAGTAGGAGAATGTCAAACCCCAGATTGACAGTCAGTGTTTTTCATCGCTGTGACCCTACAGCAAGGACCTTCATATGCCTACCAGGCCTCAGTTTGTTCCTCTGTGAGATGGGATGATAGATGAGCTACGACCTTGAGTAGCCTGTGATTTTTTTGCTTTCCTTTTCCTTCTTTCACTTTTCAGGTGTCCCCTCTTTTACTTTCTCAATGATCTAGGCAGCCTGGTGTCCAGTAATTAGGGTTCTAGGTCAGGGTGATGGAAGCTATTGGCCTTCTCATCCCAGCAACTAATCTCTGTTCTCCAGTTTTCACTCAGTTATCTCAAACTGTAGCCAACCCGCCCTGGTCACTTCCACAGCCCCCGTGGCAGCCACGGAGGGCACGGGGTTTCTGGATGCTCACAGCTTCTCTGTCTGGGCGGCTGAGGCCCTTCCCGGGGCCGAGAGGCCTGACGGGCAATGGGAGGAAGCCAGACCTCACTCATCCAGCCTTGGGCCTGGCCTGGGCACCCTCAGACGTTGGCACGTTCTGCGATCATGCTGTCCTACCTCTTCAGGGACACTGAAACCCAGGGAGGGGACAGCGGCAGCCAAGGTCACTTAGCAAATGAAGCGTGTGGCCTGACCCCACACATACCCGGGGACCACGGACCCCACCCTGACAGCCCGAGACCTGACAGGCTCTGTTACAGGGTACGCACCACAGCAGACAGACACCACCCTTGTTACGGGATTAAACAGGGAGGGCGGGGCTTTGGGGTGAGCGGGGTGGGAGTGAGGTCAGCCTGAAGGAGTGACAAGAGCCCTTATGAGGCTAAGAAGGCTTTGCTCTGGAAGGTTCCCCTCATCCACCACATCTGGCCTCCCGCCACCATGGTCAGGATAGTGACCAGGATCCCTCAGGTCCTCAGAGTCATTTAGGCCCAGAGGGGTCCCCGTGGTGTCTCGGGCCCCACAAAGAGTACTGTGTGGAACCACAGCCCAGGGACTTTGAGAGCCAGCTTACGTGAGCAGCGGTGAGGCCAGGGGACAGCCTACCCTCCAGACCCCTTTGAAGAAAGGGGCGTGTGTGTGTGTGTGTGTATACCAGCTGTCCTGGGACTAGAGAAAGGGACATGTGTGTGCTGACCTTTCCCTGGGGGTGGTAAGTCCACAGAGACAGTGGTGACGGGACCCGGCCCAGGATGTTACCGTGGTGGCCAGATCACTGATCTTGCAAACCGGGGCATTTTGGAGAGAGAAAGAGAGGCCATTAATAATTCTTCTAGGGCCTGGCCAGTGTGGCTTAGCTGGTTGGAGCATCGTCCCGTAAACTGAAAGGCTGCGGGTTCTATTCCCATTCAGGGCACACACCTGGGTTGGGAGTTCGGTCCCCACTTGCAGTGAGTAGGGGAGGGGGCCCATCAGCGTCTCTCTCACAGAGATGTTTCTCCCCCTCTGTCCCTCTACCCCCCTTTCTTTCTCTCTCTAAAATCAGTAAGCATGTCCTTGAGTGAATATAAAAAACGATGATAATGATTATACCAGAACCACAGGCGTAAAGTAGGACTGTCCCTGGCAAACTGGGACACAGGGCCACCCCAACTTTACCCCCTTGGCCTCAGTTTCCATTTCACTCCAGTTCTCAATATGTTATTTGGCCTGAGAATGCTGATTTTTAACGGTCCCTTTTGGTGACACCAAGGATGGCTCACATTACTACTTCATGGTCTCCGTTTTAGATGCCTTCTATGAACTCCCACAGACTCCTCTAAACAGTATTAGGAGGTGATGGTGACAATATAGAATAGCTTTTATTTATTGAGCACTTATTATGTGCCAGGCACATTATGATGGGGTCGACATGCCTCACCTTCCAGCTTCACACTGACCGTGTGATGAGGTCCCTGCAGCTGACCCGCTTTACAGATGTGGAAGCTGAGGCACAGAGAAGCTAAGCTGTCCAAGGTCACGGAGCCAGTTTCAGACCTGAAATCTGACCCTCCCAAGCATGTGATCTAAATCTGTTTTGTTTGATGAGAAAATTGCAGATCAGAGAAGCCTAGTGACTTAGCTCAGGTCACACAGAGCTTAGGGCCCGAGTTGGGGAGGCAGACCTAGATTGGCTCTCGGGCCCCGGTGCTGCCAAACTCCTCCCTCCAGTGCCCACTCGGCAAGACAGAGAATAGTTACAGGCTTACAGCGGGCTCCTGGCCCCCAGACAGAGCCCCAGAGGCCTGCATCGTGTCTGTTAGTTCACGATTCTATTTGAGCCTGGGTGTGGATGGGGGCTGGGTGCCAGGTGCTGGGAGGGAGCCCCTCAGTGAGCAGGCCCCTGCACTGTCAGCAACAGTGGGCAGCGCTGCAGGGAAGGAGGTGGAAGATTAAAAATAACCCTTCCTGGACAGCTGCCCAGTTGAGCGGAGGAGTTTCTATTTCTCCTTTCAGCCACCGAGTCCAGAAAGGGCCACCAGCCCACCGGCACGCTCCCTGTGACTCAGACCTGCCCGCAGGAGCTGGGCGCTCCCCTCCACCTGAAAAAGCAGCTCTATCTACCTCCCTCAGCCTTATAACCCTGGTGGGGGCTCCCCTTACTAGGGAGCAGGCTCTGGGAATGAGAGGTTCCCTTGGGGACAGCCCGGAGCCTAGGAACCTGGACTCAGATGCTAGCTGCCACAGACCCCTGGGATAACCTTGGAAGTCCCCTTCTCTCTCAGCTTGTTTTCCCACTGAAAGGGGAAGCAGGGAGCGCCCGGGCATTTCATAAAGTGCGAAGTCCACAGGGAGGTGAGACATGGCCATGACCCCTCCTCTGAGCTGCCTGTGGGGATCCGGAGGCCAAGAGCTGGAGCAGGTGCGGGGGAGACAGACCCTTAGAGGAAGTTCAGGCCCCACAGCAAGGGGGCTTTCAGACAGGCTCTGAGGGGCATCAGAAGTCCCGTCCTATTCAGAGCCTGGGCTTCTGGGCTTCTTTTTTTTTAAAAAAAAATCCTCACCTAAGGATATGGTTATTGATTTTAGAGCGAGAGGAAAGGGAGATAGAGAGAGAGAAACATTGATGTGAGAGAGAGATAGTGGTCGGTTTCCTCCCGAATGAGACCTGACCAGGGATCAAACCTGTGACCTTTGGTATATGAGCTGAGGCTCCAACCAATCGAGTCACCGGCTTGGGTGAGCCTGGGCTTCTTTTTCTGAAAGGGAAGAAGGACACTAGCAGTTAAGGAACTAGGCAGGAAAGGAGGGCCTTTGGAGAGCATCTACCTAATTCCTGTCCCTGCTCCAGATGGGCAAACTGAGCAGAGGATGGGCTTGTCCAAAGTCATGCCGGCCCAGAGCACTGCGACTGAGACCTGCCCCAGGCTGCGCTGTCCCGTCTCCCAGGAGGAATCTGTCTGGTTGAGAACCTGCGGTGTGCCTGCAGCTTTTCATGCATTCGCAAAAACTACCATGCAAGGCTGGGGTTTGATCCCACTTTACAGATGGGCAAACTGAGGCTCAGGGAGTGAAATCTCTTGCTGAAGTTCTCTCAATGGTTAGCAGTCTTGAATCCAGGCCCAAGGACCCTTAGCTTGTGGCTCATGGTCCCTGCTATCTCCTTTCACAGGCCCAGCCCCCAGCAAGGACATGGGGACCAAGGTTCGCTTCCCACTGTCCGATAGTGTGGAGGAGGGTGCCTGGACAGCCTCGGTGGTAGACCAGCAGGACAGCACCCTCTCGCTGCAGCTCACCTCCCCGGCCCACGCCCCCATTGGCTTGTACCGCCTCAGCCTGGAGGCCTCCATGGGTGACCAGGGCTCCAGCTTCCTGCTGGGCCACTTCATCCTGCTCTTCAATACCTGGTGCCCAGGTAAGCCACACCATCCATGGGCAGGGGGAGATGGACAGGGCTAGACCCACCCATGGGGGACACTGAGGATGGAGGAATGGGACAGAAGAGACAGCAGTGTGGGTTGAGTGAGGTCCACTTTATACAACTCCGTGCTCTGCCTCCCAAAACCCTGTGCTGTAAGGATCCTCTTACTCCCATTCTCAGAGGAGACAGGCTCACAGAAGCAAAACGACCTGCTCAAGGCCTCACAGCCACCAAGCAATCTTACCCCACGTCTTGGCCCATCTATTTCCATAGCACTGTGAGCTGGCCTGGTCCACAAGCCCCGTTCAGGCATGTGGTGTCCAGGGGATGCCCACGGCCACGGTTCCCCACCTGGTCGTTTCACAGGGCTCTGTTTTAAATCTCGCCAGACTGGCTTGGGGAAGGGGAACAGTGGGAGGTGCAGGCGTGCGGTGGCCACACCTCCTGTGAGGTTTTGTTGTCTAAGTGTTTCCTCGTACACACTCTCAATTATCCACCTGGACCATCCTGAGGGCAGAGGCCAGCCTCCTCACGTCACAGGCAGGAAACTGAGGCTCAGAGAAGCTAAGGGGCTTTGGGCAGCTTCTTCAATGAGAAAGACAATCAGTGCTGGACAAAACTGGAGTCCGAGGGGAGGGTGTGGAAGAACCAAGGCCGCTTGAGCAGGCGGGAGGAGGCAGGCTGCCGTGGCACTTCCAGGGCCTCAGTTTCCCCAGTTGACTACAAGGCAGCCAGATCTACATCCTGCTTGCTCCTACACAGCAAGGCAGAGAGAGATGTCCTGTGGGTGGGTCTCCACCTAAGAAAGGGGTCCCCCCCTCAAAGCCTGGGCCCGGGGTGCAGATTCTGGCCTCCCCAGCATCAGACAGCCAGCTTCTTCCAGGGCCCTTGCTTTGTATTTTCTTCTCCATGTTGAGGACATTCTATATTTTAGCAGAAAGATTTTTTTATTGTCCCTTTTGCATGCCCTAGCTTTTGTTTCTCATTATAACACGAAGACCAGAGAACCCATTGTCTTGGTAAAACCTTCAAGAGAAAGAGGAACAGCAAGCCCTGGCTTTCCCTCCTCGGGAACATGTTGAGCAGCCCTGGAGGAGGGCTCCTGTCCTTAGCTCTGGGGGCGGGGGCACGAGCCCAGAGGAACCCCTGCGTTGGTGAGCTCCTCTGTCTCCACTGAGCAGAAAAGGGTACCCCGTGCACAGCAACCTACCGGGTTGCTTCTCTCTCCACAGTGTGCCTGGAGGATCTTCCCACACTCGTCCGCACACATCGGCTCATTCCCTTTAATCGCCCGAGTGCTCCCATCTTGCCCGTGTGCCTCGCTCACTCGGCTGGTCCCCCGCCCCAGCTGCTCATCACAGGGAGGGAGTCGCAACGTGCACCCTTGTTCACATGGCCACATGGAGTGGCTTCTCAGGACAGGGTGGGCCTTGCTGGACCCCACGGTGTGCTTATTTTGGTTTTTGACAGTCCACAGAGCTTGTGGCCATTCGGCAGTCCAGCCCGCGGAGCAGGAGCATTGCCTCTGCCCCGCTCCCCCTCCCCCGCAGCCCCATCCAGTACCGTGGGAGTTTAAAGTCCAGGAAACAGGAAGCAAGGTTCTGGGGCATGTCCTCTTTCCTTTTGAACTGTCCCCTCCTTGCCTGGTGGGTTGGCGTGGTGGTCAGCCAAACAGCACGGTGACTAAAGGCTCCTGTCTCCAGGAGGAAGCGGAAATGGTGGAGCTGGTGATTGGGGGGCAGGAAGCTGGGCTCTGTTGGGGTGGGACGGTAGACAAGGACGCTGTTCTCTCCCTCTGGGGGAGAGGGCAGGCTCTGCCTGGGACAGGGGACCCTCCTGTCCCTGAGCTCCAACATGGACAGGATCAAGCACCAGTTATATGTGAGGCTTCTGTCCTCAATGCCTCCCAGATAGAGGCCGGAGCAGGGGACTTCTCAACATCCTGACACACTCACTCCCATGGGAAAATAGCGTGTGTTTTTCTTTCTCTTTCATTCTTTCTCCCACACTGCCAGTTGGTTTATAACCACAAAGTTTTCTTACTACAAGGCTAATTTTTATTGCTTAATTTCTGTAGGGAAACAGCAGGACACGTAAGACACTCGGCCCTTTTCACATCTGCCTTCCTCCACGCAGTAAGAGTGGGGGTGCTGGTCACTGCCGATGGGCAGATGGAGCCCAGGGGCAGGGGGCGGGGGCCTGGGCAACTGCATTCTGGGCCCAGTGTCCCTAGAAAGGCTGGGTGTGCTTTTGCAGACCGACTTCCATAGGCACAGGACCTGGAGCCACCATGCTTTCAGGGGCACGTGAAAATATGTTCCCTGCTTCTATCAATGGATTGATTTTATCTATTTTTTAAAAAGGGATTTTATATATTTATTTTTAGAGAGAGGGGAAGGGAAGGAGAAAAAGAGGGAGAGAAACATCAATGTGAGAAGGAAACATCAATCAGTTGCCTCCTGTACATGCCCGGACTGGGGACCGAACCCTCAACCCAGGCATGTGCCCTGACCAGGAGTGAACCGGTGACCTTTCAGGTTGTGGGACAATGCCCAACGAATGGAGCCACACCAGTCAGGGCAGATGATTGCTTTTAAAATGAGAAGAAAACAATGAATGTTTAGGCCAGAGAATATGTTTTAAGATATACTATTAATATCTTCATCATAATACCAATGCAATGATAAAATATATCTTTAATATTTTTATCTAAAAGCAAAAATGCCCAGGACCCACCAAAAGGCATCCTGTGGCTCTGGATTTCCTCTCCCAGCCTCCATCTCTTCAGCTGTGGAGCAGAGGTGGCAGAGGCAAGCCTGACACTTGACTCCCCGCCACCTGGCCCCAGCCGCCTCAGCCCCCTGTTCTGTCCTCACTAGTCACAGTCAACTAAGTGCCCTGCATTTTTCAGCAGCTGCAACTTTGCTGTCTCTGGTCATCTGCTTAGAATGTCAAGGCATGAGATGCCATCTGTTCTGGATGGTTGTCCCTGACCCCCAGCTGGACAGGACCCTCCTGACCAGAGCTGCAGGCGCCTTTCCTCAGCTCTCTCTCCACCCTGAAAGGTGCTCCTTCCTCACACTGGCTCGGGCCTTTAGTTTACAGAGCACCTTCCAGATCTGCAATCATGTTTTACGTGCAGGGAACAGACAGGGGCAGAGATGGAGAAGTAAGTGCCCTGCCCAGGATCTCACACCGCAAGTGAGGATCCCAGCCAGGGGGCTCCTGACTCCGGACCGGCACTCCCCTGTCTCTTATTCTGGGATTAGCTTTCCCATTGGTACAATAATCTTGAGGCTCAGTTTTCCCACCTGTAAAATGGGGCTTTCATGGATCCCATCCACAAAGGGCTTTTGTGGCAAATGAGCAAGTTAATATAGGCCACACGCCTATCACAAATCCTGGCACTGCATCCAGAAAATGTTGACTGAAGGCCGCAGCCAGCCAGTGTTGTCACTAACCGGTATCACCTTATGTCATTGGCACGAAATTGTTTATTAATGAGTAGTTTTCAGATTCAAAGATAGGAAAGCCTCTGAGGTGCCAACCTGGCCCCGGGCTGTTGGCACCCCAGCTGCCGTGTCTGCAGGGACCCTGGGCCCCACCAGACCCAAAGCTGAGGCCCCTTCCTTCCTACCCACAGAGGACGCTGTGTACCTGGAATCAGAGGAGGAGCGGCAGGAGTACGTCCTCTCCCAGCAGGGCTTCATCTACCAGGGTTCGGCCAAGTTCATCAAGAGTATACCCTGGAACTTTGGGCAGGTAGGACCCCTCCTCCCTGCCCCTCCCAGCCATCTCAGACCCACTGCGTGCCAGGACCTGGGTCTGAGGCAGAAGCTGCAAAGGTGTGATTGGGTCTCAGAGTCACCCACCCCATGCTGCCAGGAATCAAACACCCTGAAATGGCTGGAGGCTCAGAGAGAGCCCAGCCCAGCCTGAGGCCACACGGCAAAGGGTCGCCTTGCCTGCCATGGAAGCAACAGCCCTGGATATTCAAGGCGAGAAAGAATTAGGAGAGCCTTCAGGAGCTGTGGGCAGGCAGGCACTCTGGGAGGGAAAAGGGGGCATTCAAGCCCATATATCAAACTAACAGGCAGCACTTGCCAAGTGTTCACTAGGTGCAGGCTTGTGCTGAGAGGGGGCTTTAAACATTATAGACATCAGTGGGTCTCAAACTTGAATACACAGCAGAATCACTGGAAAAGTGTATAAAATACAGATCACTGGGCCCATCTCTAGTTTCTGATTCAGTAGATCTGGGTGTGGACTGAGCATCTGCAGTTTTAACAAGTTCCGAGGTAATGCTGATGCTTCTGGTCCAGTGTCCATAGTTTGGGAACCACTGATCTAGATGTACCAGCCAGCTGTTGCTGAATAACAAACAAGCCCAAACCTTAGAGGCGTTAAAACAATAATCCTTTTTTTTTTTTAAAGATTTTATTTATTTATCTTTAGAGGGGAAGGGAAGGAGAGAGGGAGAGAAATATCGATTGTATGGTTGCCTCTCATACGTCCCCTGCTGGGAACTGGCCTGCAACCCAGGCATGCGCCCTGACTGGGAATTGAACCCCGATTGTTTGGTTCGCAGGCCCGCGCTCAATCCACTGAGCTACACCAGCCAGCGCACAATAATCCTTTATTATTTCTCAGGAATCTCTGGGTCAGCCAGGGCATGGCTCTCTTGGCCGGACCTGAGTGACCGCACCTGGGTGGCTGTTCTCTGTCTCATGTTGTCCCTCATCCTCCTGCAGACTGGCCTGGGCTGTTTGTCCTCTACCATCCAGCCTCCCATAAATAAATCCTAAGACACTGCTGAGAAAAGTCATGAAGCAAGAAGCATCTCACGGCCGCCCCCTCAACCTCCTGATGTGAAGGAAGGGAATAAGTGCCCACAGGGGTCAGGGCAGTTTCTGAAACAGGCACCGTCTGAGCTGGGCGCATGGCCTACCAGGCAAAGGGAACTGGGCCAAGGCTTGGAGAGAGGGACATTCATGCCTAGGAAGTGCGTGGTAGTTTGGGGCGCGCCATGTCCCTGAAGGAGCCCCAGGAGATGAAGTGGGAGAAGTCGGCCATGTTCACATTTTAAACTGGCCTTGATGCCAGGCCGATGGTGATAGGGAGCCACAGAAGGGTTCAAGCCATCGAGGGAGACCTGCGATGGGGCATGGTTTGGGATAAGACACAGAGATCGGGAGCCGGGGGCCTCTGGAAGAGCCTTTGAACATGACAGATGAAGGTGACAAGGACAGGGTCCTGCTTTTGATAAAGGGAACGATTGAGTTGCAGGGATGGAAAGGCAGGAGCCACACGGAGAGTGGCAGGAGGAGCATGCCAAGCAAAGGCTGCAATAGCAAGTGCAAAGGCCCTGAGGCAGAGCGAGGGCGGGGAGAGTGGTACAAGATGAGGCCGGAGCAGGGGCATCCCTGGGCACAGACCCTGGAGCACCTCACAGGCCGCAGGGGGGTCTGGACTGTACTCTGAGTGGGGCGGAAACAGGGGAGTGACGAGATTAGATTTCTCTATAATCCACATGGGTTCCAACAGGAGCAGTGTGTGGGGCTGGGGTGGGGGAGGAGGCGACATTCCTCCACTCCGCAGGGTAAATGAGGCTTTAGGGGAAGTGGGGGATTTGGCTGAGCAGAAGGGGGAATGGGGAACTGGCGGGGTCCGAGGTGACTCTGAGGGCAGGGAAGCCCCTGGGACACTGCGCTCCCCACTCTGTGGTCTCCAAATTTCTAGGGCCCCCCAGTCAGGCCCTGGATGCAGACACACCCCATTTTCCTTTCTCACACACTAGGTCTTTGTCCCACTCCCACCCCCTTCTGGGCCAGGAGAAGCTGGCATCAAAGAGATGGGGCCAACCCAGCCTGAACCTCCCAGTCCGTGTGAGACAGAGCAGAGAAGCCCTATAGCTGCTGGGCTTCATGGCAGCCCTCCTGGAGGAGGTGATGTCTCACTCCCCTCATCCTCCTCTTGTTTCCTCTGAACGCAGTTTGAAGGTGATATTCTGGACATCTGCCTGATGCTCCTGAATGTCAACCCCAAGTTCCAAGAGAACAGCGGCCGTGACTGCTGCCGCCGCAGCAGCCCCATCTATGTGTGCCGGGTGGTGAGCGCCATGGTGAGTGGCAAGGCCAAGCCCAGGGGCCCGTGAGAGGGAACAGTAGGGGTATTCAGGGGATGGTTAAGTCTCAGCTAAGAGAACTTGTATTTAGAAAGACAAGATTTACCCAAATGAGGATAATGCCATGTGATTCCTCAAAGCCATTCGTTCAGCAGATATTATTAAGTACCACTGTGTCCTGCGCACTGGGGACACAGCCGGGTATAAGACATGTGTGGTGTCTAACTTCCTAGAGCTTGTGGTCTAGTGGGAGGGTGGGCAGAGACAGACATGAACCGAAATGTCGTGTGAACGAGTGCAGAGTCATAAATAATGATGCAGGCACAGAACGAGCCCAGATGTGTGAGTGTCCGACCACAGGGCCCAACCACAGAGAAGGCTGGGGGACCTCTTCTCTAAGCTGCTCTAACACGGAGGGGGAGGAGAGCATTCCAGGCAGAGCGTGCAGGGAGCAGCTTGTGCAAAGGCCCCGAGGAGGGAGTCACCTTGGCAGGTGTGAGGAGCAGAAGGGAGGCCAGCGTGGAGGCACAGTGAGCGAGAGAAGCAGGGTTCGAGTGGGGCTGTGGACGTGGGCAGGGCCAGGCCACCTCGTGGGCCGTGGTCAGAAGCCTGGGTTCTGTTCTCGAGTGAGCAGGAACTGGGGGAATGACACACTCCGGGGAGGGGCCTGAAGTGGTCTTTGGGTTACTCAGGTCACTCCGGGTCACAGACAAATCCTCATCTCCAGCGTCACCTCTTCACCTCCCCCTCCCCTTTCTGGACCCGGGCTTCGGTTCCAACCGTCTCCAATGCACCACAGTCTGTCACTCCCCGGTGCCTTGCACCTGCTCTTCCCCCACCCTGAAACTCCCTTCCCTGCCTTTTACGCCCTGCCACACTCGTGCTCAGTCTGGCACAACTGCCACCCTCACCCTGACTTGGTCCCTCTGATGCCCTGCTGGTTGCAGGTCAACTGCAATGATGACCAGGGCGTGTTGGTGGGACGCTGGGACGAAAAGTACATGGATGGCATCAGCCCCATGTTCTGGATCGGCAGTGTGGACATCCTGAGGCGCTGGAAGAACTACGGCCTCCAGAAGGTCAAGTATGGCCAGTGCTGGGTCTTCGCTGCCGTGGCCTGCACAGGTGGGCTGCACAGCGGGACGTGGGGAGGGCCTGGAAACTGCCCTCCGCTTCTAGAACCCCACGGGGGGGAGGGCACTGAGGGCCCTGGGGTGGGAGGTGCTGGGGATGTCATTGGGGGGGCAGCACGGGCTCAGGGCAGGGAATACAGACTTCAGACCCAGGCGCACTGGAGTTAAAAGCCTCCACTTTCCCACCAACTTGCTCTGTGACCTTGAGCAAATGACTTCTTTCTGAACCTCTGGTTTCGCATCTGTAAGAGGAAAACAACAGGACCTGCCTCCCCAGGTGGGAGTGACATAAAGCCACTCAGCACAGAACTTGGCCCAGGGAAGGTCTCACTAGGTATAACTTATTAATAACTTGATATAATAATAATAATAGTAATAATAATACCTCCACCAATGTTGAGGAATAGGGCACACTTTTGAAAATGCAGAGGAGAGAAAGATAAAGCAATTTAAAACCAAAACAATGAAAAAAGAATCTTGTCAATTGGAGCCCAGAAGAAGGTTAGAGATTGTTCCAGGTTGAAGGTTGAAGATCAGTGCCCAGGAGAACGGGCTGGCATCCAGGGCTGGCTGGGAGCCTAGAAGCTGGAGTCTGGGCCTGCGTCCAGGCCCCAGCTCAGCGTCTTCCCGTCTGCATGTTCTTGCGCGAATCACTTACCACCTCCGAGCCTCAGTCTTCTTATATGTAAAATGGGCGTAACAGTGCCTTGACCCTGGGGTGGCCGTAAAGGTTAAATGATTTAACATGTGAAATGTTTAAAATGATCTCCGATGCATGACAGCAAATATTTAGATAGTGCTGCTGCCTGCTAGTACTACTATTACTTACATTGCTAGTATTGGGCTGAGGAAATCTAAGAGGCAGATCTCGGGCTTCTAGCTCTTCTGACTCCGAGACCAGGGCTCAGGCCCAGAAAGGGTCCCCAGCAGCCTCAGCACTGCCCTCCACACTGGTAGGCTGGGCGGGGACAGCCTGGCCCCAGTTCCCAGCTGGACAGTTCCTTCCTCATCACCACCACACCATGACCGTCTGCGCCCTGGTGACCTCTGGGTTCCTCTTTCTTGTGGACACCCCCTGTCCTAGACCCTTTCTTCTGAGAGGCCTAAAACACATCTGCTCAGAGAACCCCACGGGCTTCCTGGAGAATCCCCCATCCGTGGCCTGGGTCTCCGAGCTCCCTCGCTCACCTTTGTCACCCTAGGCTGTGACCACCTGCAGGTTAAGCTGCGGGTCTTGCCCTTGACTGCCCTCTGTCCCCATGGCCAAGGCTGACTCAGTCTTTGTAGCCTCCTCCCAGGCATGGCATGCCATGGAGCCAGGGAAAACTTGGGCGAACGAGGGGCTGCCTGACCCCTTGGTCCCGATGTTTTCTTCGGGAAGCCAAACGGTGGACTGGCCCACGGGCACCGGAGTCGGACTGCCTGGTTTGATCTCAGCTCTGCCTCCAACCCCTGGGTGAAGGCGGGCAAGAGAACTGGCATCTCCAAGCCTCAGTTTCCTCACCTGTAGGATGGGGATGGTAGCGACGGAGCCTCCTTCACAGGAATCTTGTGGGCCCCAGGGAGATGGGCCTTAGCACCGTCTCTAGCTCGGGGTAGGTTCTGGTTGGGGAATTTCAGGGGAAGCTGTGCTTCCGCAGCTGGACCGTGGAGCACTTTCTCAGCGCCTGTGAGCTGGCCAGCGCTGCCTGGACGAGAGGTTTGCAGCGCTGGGCTCCATGGCACTCTTGGCTGGTCCGCCCTGGCCCTGGGCAGAGACTGCCCACGCCCAGAGACTCTGAATCATTGCACCGTCCTGACAAGCTGCTAATATTAGCTCCTCTGAGAGGAGGAAATGGGGGCTCGGAGGGGGGAAGTGGCTTGTCCAGGGTCACACAGCTGGTGAGTGGCATGGCTGGGCTTGGGACCAGGTGTGCTTGATGCTGGATAAGACTCCAGGCCTTAGACTGTGAGGATGAGGCTTTCCAGGATGCCATCCCTGGGGACAGGAGTGATGCCTTACTACTTGGGCAATGGGGACAGGAGTCTGGTGGCATGGGGGGGCCAGGCCTAAGGCTGGGACACCAGCCTTCACTAAGGGCAGCAGGGAGCCTGGCCTCGGCCCAGGCCCCAGGGCGCAGGAACCAGGCAAGAGGTGGAGATTCAAAGCTGCTCCCCTCCCTCCTCCCAGCGCCCACACACCTGGCCAGGGTCCAGGGCCATCTGGGAAGCTCTTGCCCTGGTTGATGGTGGGCAAAGGTCACCTCCCTGCCCCTCCTCCAGACTCAGCCACTCAACCTCAAAACTAAGAGTAAAACAAAAGTCCTATAGGTTACAATTAGGAGGGCTTTTTTGTTTCACTTCTTTTTTTAGATATTTACATTCCTTGTCCTATCCTGAGAGTATGTTGCTTTTATGACGTATAATAATTAAAAAGCACACAAAAATGAGGAAGCAAAACCCCTCAGAATTCTACCTGTCAGGGTGACTCGGCACCGCCCTTCGGGAAGGCTCGCACCTGGGTTGTCCTCCCCTGTCCGTGGATGCCAGTGACCGCAACCTCTGTGTGCTCTGGCGTCAGTGCAGAACCCTCCGCATCCACAGTGTGTCCTAACACGTCTGACTACGCGGCACCTGTACCCTGACCCCATTTTTATAGAAGAGGAAACAAGGCCCAGAGAGGTGAAGAGACTGGCCCCAGGTCACACAGCTGGAGGCAGGCAGGGCTTGACTGGACTGTCTCCTGACCTCTGGTTCCTCTTCCACCTGTTTCACTGTTTGCCCCCCGCCTGGTCTCTATCATTCCTTCATTCCTTCCCTTTCTCTCCCTCACTCCACTTCGCCCACACCTTCATCCCGTTTGACAAAATAGTCTGTGCCAGGTCCGTGCTGGGCTCTGGGGATGGAAAATAAGATGGATTCTTCATGAGCTGGTGCATTGAGAATGATGATGAGGCCCTAGACTCAGTATAAATGTAAACAACAGGGCAACTTAAACCTGGTGGGCTGGCTTGCCTGGTGGTGGGAACAGCGCCTGCCCACGCCCCTGTGGCTGGTGGGAGTGGGGAGTGCTGGAGGAGCAGCGAGGAGGCCCAGGGGGCTGAAGCAAAGTGTGCAGGAGGCAGCCAGGTGCCAGACCCGGCAAGGCCAAAGGACCACAGCTGGAGGTCTGGCCTTGACCTTGAGGGCCATGAGGAGCAACTGATGGTTTAGCAGAGGCGTGTTGATGTAGATTTGCATTTTAGGATCTTGTTCTGTTAGCTGTGATATGAGGGGGACAGAATGGACATGGGGTGATGAGCAAGGTGGGCACCGTTGCCCAGGTAGAGGGATGGCACACACCCTCACCACCTGGACAGAGGGTCCGGTGTTCAGCAGGGTGCAGATGCGAGTGTAGAGAGCAGAGGTCTTGGGGTGCTCAGCCCCACCTCTGACCCCCCCTCCCTGGTGTGGACCCCCTCCCTCCTCCTAGTGCTGCGGTGCTTGGGCATCCCCACCCGAGTCGTGACCAACTTCAACTCGGCCCACGACCAGAACAGCAACCTGGTCATCGAGTACTTCCGCAACGAGTACGGAGAGCTGGAGAAAAACAAGAGCGAAATGATCTGGTGAGGTGGGGCCCAGGGCTGGGGGCAGGGCCCCTAGGAGGACTTCTCAGAGGCAGTGACGCTTGAATTGGGTTTAAAAGTTGAACACCGTTTGGACGAGGGGAGACAGGGCTTGGGAAGGGCTCTCTAGGCCGGAACAGCATGTGCGAAGGTCAAGAGGAGGGAAAGTCAACAGGCCACGCGTGGAGGGCTTTGGGGAGAAAATGTTGCTGGAGTCTGGAATGCCAGGACGGGGGTCCGAGCTTTCAAAGGCAGCGGCTCTCACCCCACCGAAGGCGTCCAACTGGGAGAGGAACGTGCCAATGACCTTGGAGCATGTCTGGAGGGAAGGTTGGGGGGGGGGGCGGGGGTTGGTCCAGATGGCTGGTGCTGAGGCCTGTTTTCCAGAGGCTGGAGAAGAAGGGGTGGAGCCAAGAGACTACTACGAGGTCACCTCAACTGAACTTGAGGAGCCACTGAAAGGGGAGGGAGGGGGAGGAAAGGAATTGAGAATGACTCTCAGCGCAGGATGAGCACCTGGCAAGGGCCCAGAGAGGGAAGAGCCAAGAGGAGCCATGCTGGGCTCCGCTCAGGACAGGCCAGTGCGGGCTGTCCTGCGGGGAGGTGACTGAAAGCCTGCAGGCAGGTCCTGGCCAACGTCCCCCTGCTTTTCCCAACAGGAACTTCCACTGCTGGGTGGAGTCCTGGATGACCAGGCCGGACCTGCAGCCAGGCTATGACGGATGGCAGGCCCTGGACCCCACGCCCCAGGAGAAGAGTGAAGGTGGGTAGGTGTATCCCTATTCCCTAAATGAGGAACCTGAGGCTCAGACAGCACTCACCCGGAGTCCCCCAGCTGGAGAGCACAGGGCTGGCATTCTAAGCCAGGTCTGGTCTACGCCACACGTCATCGGCTGGTCTGCTTCAGGGTAGGGGACCTCGCCGATGTTTTACAATATGCTGGTTTTCCATTTAAAAAGTCACTCATGCTCACTGCAAAAAACAGAAAATGAGGAGAAGCATAAAGAAAACATCAAGCAGCAACTCTGTCCTCTCCCTTCAAAGGAAGTATCATTCACATTCACTCATAGCTTCCAGTAATTTCTCATTATATACTCATTTGTACCTGTGTGCGCAGGCCAGAGAGAACAAGGCAGAACTGGTAAAGCCAAAAGGGTCCTTTCTCCAAATATTTTTAAATTCGTAGACTATAATACCTAGGGTTTACAAAGTCAGCCAATTGCACTGAAATACAGTTATGGAAAATATTTAAAAATAAATCTGTAATATAATAATGCACACTTTCCGTAACAAGATCTGGTGATAGAACTAATCACTTCGATAACTCAGGGGCAGGGATGCGCACACATGGGTCTCCAGATACGTGTGGCCGCTATAAAGTGATACGAAAATGTCTGGTTTTTATGGGCGATGAGTCGTAAGAGCACCTAAGATTACGGTTTGTCTGCTTTCACAATCGAAGGAAGTGCTGTCCAAGTACAGTGAAAATCGAGATGTCATTTTGTTTCCCACCCAAGTTCATGGGCCCCTGAATTCTATTTGTTGCTCCTTAGGGGTCCGTGGACCCCGGGTTAAGAACTCTGGATGTACGTGGCCTTTTATGCTGGCTTTGTCTCACTTTTCCATATGCCATTCACATTTCGCCATTGGCTAGCGTCCTGTGACTTGAATGTTAATTTCATGTTACTGTGTTCCATCAAATGGATACACTGTCATGTAGTTACCCAGCCTCTAGTCCTCACCTTCCAAATCTGTGAGCCACTAGTGGCAGCGATAAACCGCGCTGAGGTGATCGGCAGTGGCGGTGTGTTGTACCAGACAGATGCCCAGCTTCCTCAAGTACAGCCGGCTGCTGGCCTCCCTCAGCTCCTTAGGGTGCTGTGGGATGTTCTTCTATTTTATTTATTGCTTACATAGCATCTAGGATGTGCCAATCCTCATTAGGTAGGTACAAACACTGTCCCCACATGAAAATGAGGCTCAGAGAAGTTAAGTCACTGCCGCAACATCACACAGCTAATAAGAGCTGTGACTCGCACCCTAAAAGCCAGGCTCCCGCGTCTTCATCCTGAGTTCTTACCCTCTGCTGCCTTCCTGGCAGTGGAGTCCCTGAGTCAAAGGGCTTTATCCTCTCGAGACTTTCTGCCGTGTGTGGTTGAATGGCGGGGGGTTTTGAAGGGTGCCGCCCTGCCCTCCTCCCAGGCTTGTGTCTCCTTCCTTCTTTCCCCAACCAGGGATATACTGCTGTGGCCCAGTTCCGGTCCGTGCCATCAAGGAGGGCGACCTGAGCGTCAAGTACGACGCACCCTTTGTCTTTGCCGAGGTCAACGCGGACGTGGTGGACTGGATCCGGCAGGAGGATGGGACCATGCACAAGTCCATCAACCAGCAGATCGTGGGCCTGAAGATCAGCACGAAGAGAGTGGGCCGTGACGATCGGGAGGACATCACCCACACCTACAAGTACCCTGAGGGTAGGTGCCCGGAGCCTCCAACACGGCCTCCCCGACAAGCCGCCAGCTTTACCAGCCCCGTGTGTGTGTGTTATTGGGCTGCCTATATTCAGCAATGACCTGTGGGTTACTCTCCATTCCCAAAAATGCCTTAGAAACAGGTGCGAACTTACCACACACTTGGGAAAATGGCAGTAGAGGATTATTTGTTTAGGAAAAGAATTCCACGTTCCACAAAAGGATTGCATTGGGTCCGTAAGCCTCACCTTCTGTTTTTGGTTGATTTGACTCAGTAAACCTAAAAAGAATGGCTGGTAAAGGGGAGAGGCGTGCAGGGGAACAGAAAGGTTAGGGGTGTCCACGCTGCACGCTAACAGCACTGACCAGCTGTGGCGCCTGCAACTGAAGATGAGTAATTCCACCCTTTTTTGTTGCAACGTGTTTGCACCAGAGAGGCTGAGAGATGCACATGGGCCGTGGAGCAGCGGTTCCTGGAGCTCGGTCACGCGTGTTTATGGGTGGTGTCTCTCCTGTAGCCGGGGAAGCAGCGTGAAAGAGGATGAGGAAGGGTTCAATGAAAGAGAAATGGAGCAGGAGAAATTTAAAGACAAGATGGATTCCATCAGATACAAAGACGAGTCTTCTTTCTGCTATCCATGTTAGGTCAGTAGGGAGGAAAAAGGATGTGGCTTATTTTGAAAATTGGATTTGAGCACATCTGACAGCCAGTCCAATGCAATAGATATTTTCCAAGCATCTACTGAGTGCCAAGCACAGCCGGGCTCACAGAGATGACTGAGAAACCACAGCCCCACCCACCTCTGACCCCCCACGGATGCTCCCCAGCTGACTGGGGGTTAGGGATTAAGTGGCCGTGTTTTTGGTGTAAAGGATAATGCAGAAGGAAAAGATGCTTTCCTCGGCCTCTGAAAGGCCTAGAGCTGACGGTTTGATGGAATAAATATGAGCCCAATAACACTTGGGGGGGAATGAAAGGAGCAATGGGGAGAGGTAAACAGAGCGTAAAGGAGGGGCAGTCATTCTTGCTGGAGAGCTGCACGGGCAGGCCGCGGGGGGCCTGGGGGGAATGGATTGTGGAGGAAGTAATCCCTCTGTGCAAAGCCTGGCAGGTGAGAAAGTTCGCACTGTCTGGGTGCTTACTATGCGCCAAGAACCACTGTAGGCCGAAGGGTATGAAATGAAGAAAAGTAAACACAGTCTTAATCCTCAAGCAGCTCAAAAGGGTAACCATGAACACAGAAACCAATTTGGTGAGCTACACCACTGTAATTAGCGATAGGCAGCTGTGAAAGTCCAGAAGACACTGTGACTGAGTCACCCTGCCATGGTGAGGTTGCCCATTTGGTTGGAGCGTCATCCTGTGCACCAAAAGGTTGTGGGTTCAATCCCCAGTCAGGGCAAATGTGGAAGGCAAATCATCATTGATGTTTTCTTTCTTTCTCTCTTCCTCTCTCTCTCAAATCAATAAAAACATATCCTCGGGCGAGGGTTAAAAAAAAGAAGACTTCCTGGAGAAGGGGCCACTTTGGGCTGGGTCTTAAGGGATGCCTAGGAGTTCGCTTTGGATAATAAAGAAAATACTCTTCCTGGCACAGGAGTGTAGAGAAGGCACTGCTTCGGGGCTGCTCTGAGTCTCGAGGACTCTGAGAGGCCGGCTCTCTCTGCCCGGCCCCCTTCGCCCTGGAACAGGTTCCAGCCACAAACACACTCTCCCGCCTGTCCCCACAGGGTCCGTGGAGGAGAGGGAAGCCTTCCAGAGGGCCAACCACCTGAACAAGCTGAGCGCTAAAGAGGAGACGGGGGTGGCCATGCGGATCCGTGTGGCCCAGAGCATGAAACTGGGCAGCGACTTCGATGTCTTCGCCTACATCACCAATAACACCGAAGAGGACCTCCTGTGCCGCCTCATCCTCTGCGCGCGCACCGTCAGCTACAACGGCGTCCTGGGGCCCGTGTGCAGCTCCGACGACATAATGGATCTTCCCCTGGAGCCCAACTCCGGTAAGGCCCCGGTTCCTGGGTCAGTGACTGGTGCAGACAGAAGTGCTAGGTAGCGCCCTGAGCGCTGAGCCCGCGCAGTTCACCTCCCGGACGCCCGCATGGCACTTATTCTTGGTCACGCCCTGTCCTACGCGCTCACAAGTATCAACCCCTTTAATTCTTATAACAAAAGTGGGAGGTGGAGTCTTTTATTGCCTCCATTTTCCAAGTGAGATGGCCAAGCACAGAGAGGTTAAGTGCCTTTCCCAAGGCCACACAGTTAGGATGTGACAGGACTGAGACTCGAACTGTGCTCTTAGCAACTTGCCTGTTTTGTTCCCTCTCATGTTCTCGGGGGTCCTGACTGCTTCCCCAGATTCTCTACTGCTCTCTCTCAGCTAATTCTTCCCCTGGGTCTCCAGTAACTCTCCCACCCGCCACCAGGGCCTCTTCCCTCTGGAGGTCCTCAGCCTCCTGGAATAGACGCTCTAGACCACTGCCGCCCGCAGAACCTTCTGCGATGGGAGTTGTATGTCTGTGCTGCGCGGAGCAGGGGCGATAGTTCCGTGTGGATACTGGGCCGTGTGGCTGGAGCAACTGCAGAATTGAAGCTTTAACTTCACTTTCTTTAAATGGCTGCACGAGGCCAGAACCTGCCATTTTGGACAGTGTCACTGTAAGAGTGAAGGGAGGACCATCCAGCCCTCTTCGGAGAGAAGGGTGTTCCTCCTAGCTCCGCCCATCTCCTCATAGATGGCCCTACACCTGTCCTGGCCTCCCTGCAGGGTGGGCCCCCTCCCTTCACTCCTTAGTCCCGGGGCTCTCCCCCATTTCAGGGTAACGCAATGTCAGGAGATGACCCAGCCCTTGGCCCTGGGCAGAGCCTCTGTTGTTCAAACGTCCTGGTCAGATGCCTGCACGATTGTCTCCTTGGTCCCTTTTGTTGCCCAGCTTTGTCACTGTGCCCCGTTATCTTCCTTGAAATAAGCCTGAGACCCTGAGAGGCGTTGTGGCCGCACGGAGGACGCTTAGTAAGGCGGTGCAGAGCCCGTCTCCCGTGCCCCAGCAGCCCAGGCCCGGCTTCTGCGTGGGGGCAGAGGCACGAGGGGGACAGAGGGGTCACGGAGCTGGGAGAGGCCCTGGGAGCAGGGAGTGACACACTGACCATCCTCCGAGGGTCCTGCTGGCTGTGCCACCTGGGCAGTGGGCCACCTCCCTGAACCTTAGTGTCCTCATCAGACACACGGGAGTCATGACCTGCGAGACTGTCTGTTGGGGCTGAGGCCCCAACACTTACTTTTTAAAGATGTTATTTGGGGGCCAGTCAGACTGGCTTTGATTCTGGCTACTACCACCTCCTACACGTACAGCTGAGGGCAGGGTGGCAGTGATCCCTGAGCCTCGTTGGACTCCACGCACTGGGGCAGCAGCAGCACCACCTAAGGTAGCCTGTGAGGACTGAAAGGGGTGATGTGTGCTCAGGAGACGTCTGCAAAGTGTCACCTGGTGCCCGGACAGGGCGAGACCTTCACTCCTCACTGAGCAGAAGAGAAAACAGGCGTGGGGCAGCCGAGAAGCCCCCTGGTCCTTTCCTGACCACCCACGGCACTGCACCGTGGCCTCAGGGCTGGGCTCCATGGTGTGAGTCCCTGCTAACCTTGATGGCAGAGAAAGGACCCAGCCTGGGCCAGGCCTAAGTGTCAGCTGTGGGGGAGTGATCAGGACACCCAAGTTCTAGTTCAGGCAATTCTGTGGGCAGGCTGTGGGCTCCTGGTATTTCTCTTCTACACCCCCGGCCTCATGTTCCTCATTTGTAGAAACTCTGGTTCATCTTTGAGGAGCGCCTCCAGCCACTTTGTTAGAACCCACACGTGTCATTTCTTCTCGGGCTCAGCAGCACCTCAAAGGGAGGAAGGGTCCTTCCTGGAACATGTGGTGTGAAGAGAGCTTCAGCCTGGGCTGGTGATGCCAGGGTGGTGTCCTCCTGGGCCCCCGTCGAGCCCACTCTGCCTCCCAGATCCCGGTGGGCCCCTGGGCATTGTCCAGGCAGGTCTGTCCACTCTTCTCCCATTCCTGAGGATGTGTTCACAACAGGAGAGGTCCCTCCTGCTCTGTCATCACCCACGAAGGGCACTGCCCATAGGGAGAGGGCAGAGGTCCTGCGTGGTGACCAGGTGGAGCTGGTCCGGGTGCCCTAGGGGGGCCTTCGGTGGCAAGCTCGACCTGAGATTGACTGGGCCACCCCCGAGGATCACATACTTGGGCTGAGTCTCCAGTTATTCTCCGATGATAAGATAAGGGGGATTTCCATGCACTTCCGGACAGGAAGCCAAACAGAACAGAATCCGGTCGCCCACACCCCTGACCCCTGCCTCCTTGCTCCGCAGCTCCTCTCCCTCCCCCTTCCTGCCCCGTGCTCACCGCTCCAGGTGGGTCACGGTGGGGGGGGGTGCAGCCAATGCGGCCTTGGCGATCGTGTCTGCCCCCGGTGCCTTTTGGAACAGGGCAAATCACCCAAGGAACGACAGACCACTGCACACCCTTCCTTCCGTCAGTCAGCAGCTGGCATGGCATCAAGGCTGTGGTCCCTGGCGGGCAGAAAACAGCTCTCAGAGGTCCAGCCCCACCCTGGTTCAGCCTCCTGGAAAGGTCAATGGCTGGGGCCGTGTCCTCGGAGCTCTCAGAAGACAATGTTTGCTTTCTTTTCTGTGGAGCTGGTCAGACTTTCCACTCTGCTCCACCAGGAATTTTCACTCCTTTTTGTCCCTTTTGGCAGCAGATTGGGTTTTCTGCCCCCAGTGTCATCTGAACAGAGGTTGGGACAGATCGTCCCTGGGAATGAATGGCTAGAGGGCTGGGTACACCAATGCAGCCTCTTCCCAAGGTCAGGGTGTGCGCTCCCAGTGGGTCTGCCGAGGCCCAGACCTTGGCTCCCGGTGAGAAAGGGACGCTGAAGTCATCACAGGTCAGGGAAAGGCCTGGCACCTGCCCAGCATTCACCGGCGGTGTGAGCTGAAGCACGTTCCTTCCCCTCGCTGTGCCTGTGGAAATGTGAGGGGTGTGGGGGGTCTTAGTCACTAAATGTGCTTCCCCCACCCCTGCAGAGAAGAGCATCTCCCTTCCAATCCTCTATGAGAAGTACTGTGACCACCTGACAGAGTCGAACCTCATCAAGGTGCGAGGCCTCCTCGTCCAGCAAACTGACAACAAATACCTGCTGGCCGAGAGGGACATCTATCTGGAGAACCCGGACATCAAGATCCGGGTAAGCAGAGGGCTGGGCAGGGCTGGGAGCGGGCCGGCCTCGTGCACCTGCGGCCCTGCACGCTCAAGCCCTCTGACACCTCAGGGATCCTCAAATCCTGGCTTCGTCCAAGTACAGCATCGTGAAGCCAAAAGAACTGGGACTTATGAGTGCACCCTAGAATCTTGGAGTGGTTGGTAGGGTCAGGGAAATGAGGGATTTTAGAGTCACAGATGCTTAAAAGCTAAACTCCTAAAGCTAGAGGCCCGGAGCCTGGGTCCTGGTGGGGCAGGTAGGGTGGACTCTGAGCTCTGACTGCCTGGGTGGCCAGGTGGCCCTGGGCATGTTACTGTGGCCCTTGTTGCCTCAGTTTGTCCATCTGTAAGGTAGGCGCTGTAAGGATTAAATGTGCATCCATAAGAAAAACATAGAGCCCCATCCAGCACATTGTAAGGGCTCAGTAAGAGCTGACTATTGTCACTGTCATCCCCCTTGTCACAGTGATTCACTTTCAGGGAGATGCAGCCCCAGAGCCCCCAGTGCAGCAGCTACAAATCAGTGATGGAGCTCGGGGGGGGGGGCGCAAGCGCCGTTTGCCAGTCTCCCGGGAGCTTGCCCACTCCCAGCTCAGCGATTCTTAGAGATCGCTGCAGCCAGGCATTGCTCTCCCATGAAGAAACCAAGGCTCAGAGAGGGCAGTGACTTTCGGGGGAGTCACACAGTGAGGAAGGGGCTCCAAAGCCTGCGAGCTTCCCCCTCCAGACCCCAGAACAAGGGAGGCACCATGCCTTCTCCGGGTTGTGCGGAGCCTCCCCCTGCCGCTCCGTCAAGGAGCCCTGGGCCGGTGTCATCACCTGTGTCTTCCAGCCGAGGAAACTGAGGTACAGAGGCATGGAGTGAGACTGGTAGAGTGGACGTGGCTTTGTTCAGCAACTATTGGGCCAAATTGCGCAAATACCGAGATGGCCAAGCCAGGATCCTGCCTGCCCTGAGGGGCTCTGGTCCCCCTCCCTCAGTGCCGCCTCTTACATCTGCCCTGTGCCCTGCCCCAGATCCTGGGAGAGCCCAAGCAGTACCGCAACCTGGTGGCTGAGGTGTCCCTGCAGAACCCACTCATCGTGCCCCTGGAAGGCTGCGTCTTCACTGTGGAGGGAGCTGGCCTGGCTGACCAGCAGATAACCGTGGAGCTGTAAGTGCTGGTCACTCAAGCTTGGGGGCCGGGGGTCAGAGGGCAGATGCCAATGGGGGCACCAGACTCTAGCCCATAGCTCGTCATCTTATCTGTCACACACCCACCCTCAAACCTGAGTCTTACACCCCAGGGTCCCTCTCTAAATGCTTTCAGGGCAAAGTTCCCAACTTCTCATCCTCAGTATCCACACCCCGCTAGCTGGGTTCCCTGCACCTGTCTCCATAAACCAAAACAATTACACATTCCATCGCTAAGCACCTGCTCCGCAACATACAGGCCTCACATTAATGCAAGCATAGGAACCCTGAGTGTCTACACATGTGTCTTAGACACTTATCTATGGACATACATATATACAAGCATAAATACTTCTAATTTTTTACTTTATTATTGTCAAATAAGTTACATACAGAAAAGAACACAAATCACACAGGTACAACTCAATGCGTTCTCATGCATGTGGGCACCTGAGCACACCCACTCTTACCCCCAGCACTCTGTGGGCTTCTCACGTGTGTGTGAGCGCACACCCATGTACACACAGGCCCCTCTACACGTAGTAGGGCGAATTGCCCAGGACCTGTGAGAGCGGTTAGCACGTCCATTCGTTATTGTCATTTGTTACTACTGTCAGCGTTAAGCCACACCCCCGTGGACACAGCGGCCCTGTGCTAAGTTCTCAGGTATCACGGGGCACCCTGGTCTGGCCCCATCATGGCGACCAGGCCTGGGCGTCTCCTCAGCCTCTTCCTCTCTCCCCACAGCCCAGACCCCGTGGAGGCCGGGAAGGAGGCCAAAGTCAGGGTGAACCTGCTGCCCCGCCACGTGGGCCGCCACAAGCTGGTGGTCAACTTCCAGAGCAACAAGCTAAAGGCTGTGAAGGGCTACCGGAACGTCATCATTGGCTCCCCCTAAGGGGCTCCCTTGCCCAGCCCCACCTCAGCCAGCTGAGAGCCCTCAACTGGACCCACTCTTTATCCCAAGCTAGTGAGGAAAATTTGCCCCTCCTTGGACCCTAGACCCATCTTGCCCCCTGAGCCTGGTTTCCCACCCCCCTACCTGTGAACAACATTCTGCACCTCCACAGTGGGGGCCCTGACCGTAGTTCACTGGGCTTGGGATGGAGGAGAAGGGACCCACACCTCCCCCTCCAGCCCGGATGCCATTTGGAAAGCAACCAATCACCACCTGCCATGTTGTTTGCTCTAGTCCATAGCCCCTTGGAGCAAAAAAAAAAGCAGAGTGCCCTTTGGCCAGATCGAGAAACTCAACACCCTGGTGTGTCCTGTACCCCTTCCCCAGACTGTGCTCTGGCCCCAGGGGCCAGCACAGGTGGGGATGGGGAGGGTCCCAGGGATGAGCAGGCTTCAGCTTCTCCCACGGTCCCTTACCCTCCTCACCGTTGTAAAGCACCTACGATGGGCAGGGTGCATCCTGTATTGCTGGTACCCACACAGCCACCAACCCTTTTCATCCATCACCAGGGGAAGCTGCAGGGTGGGAGCTGCTTTCTCAATGAGGAGACTGAGCCTCAGAGAAAGGAGGTGGCCCGCCCTGCCCAGGTGGGCTTGCGGATATTTGAAAGGCTGGGTCACATGAAGGCGTGGGAATGGAGCACAGGCCTTCTGACTCCGAGTCCAGTGCCCTGCTCCCAACACCAGCCCTGACCTGAGAACGTCCTCAAGGCCCTTTGGGGCCTGATCAAAAAAATGGGGTGAGGAAGTGGGAAAAGACTGGAAAGGGTCAGAGCCCCAAGTCTGGCCAGCCAGCGTCCTCTCCTCTCTGGGCTTTGGTGTCCTGGCTGGTCAGTGCAGTGGCTGAACCAGCTCATCTCCAAAGGCCTCTCAGCTCTGCACACCTGATGCCTTGTAGGATCCAGCCTTGCAAATGACAACAAGTCCTGCTCCCCGGTCTCACAGAGACTTAGACCTCATGCCCAGGATGTTTCTAAGAGTGAAACCAGGACCAGGACCACTGTTCTGCCCCCAGCCCTAACCAGGTCCCACACCTTCCTTCAGACCCCAGTTCCAGGGGCAAAGAGCCCCGGAGGCCCCCGTCCTACCCAGGAGCCTCCCCACCGCAATGCCTAGATTTCACAAGGGCCTTCGCTGCCTGTGCCGATCACTCACCAGCAAGGCCAGCCCCTCAGCCACCCCCTCTTCGCAGGACCAGGCCCTGGATAACAGCTCAGGGAGCCTGTGAGTTGTCATCTCTAACTTAATCGCCCACAGTCTCCACATGACCGGGCCTCCCTCAGCCTGGATGAGGGAGAGAGGCATTCTCTATCTGCAGAGGGGTCACAGCCTCCAGGGCCCCCCCAAATGCAGAGAGGGCCTTGGGGAAAATCACGCTGATGCATTTAGAACTTGCTGCTTTGCACAGGGAAGAATCACAAAATGAGCCAACAAACATACATTCTATATAAATATTGCTCTGTGTGTCTATGATTTATAAATGCTTTTGGGTTCCACGCGGATAGTAGCTAGCCTTTTGAGCCACAGGGAGCGAACACTGAAATAAAGAGTTTATTTTTCACATTCAAACAAGGTCTGGTCTGGTCCTTTTGAGGGGGGTGGTTGGGTGAGCTCATTCACACTGGGACAGGCCAGGTCTAAACCTGACTGACATTCAAGGCTCTACACAGTCTGGCTCCCTCTCCAGCCTCTTTTCCAAGCAAAACATGTTTGGGGCCACAGTGAACTTCCTGAATTTCTCCAAACACCCCGTGCACTTGCCAACTTCTTGGCTTCTGCATGGGTAGTGCCCTGAGCCTAGAGTGCCCTTCCTCTTCCTTACCCATCTTGTGAGCTCTTACCCATCCTATGATGCTTAACAGGCAAGTCACCTCTTCTGTGAAGCCTTCCCAGATTTCTTCTCAAGCCCCCAGAGCCCCAAGACATGGACCAACTCAGACATTTATCCGAGAATTTTAGTTCCATGTTGGTACATCTGTCCCCCTCACCATTCCATCTGAAGTCCTCAAGGGTGGGGACCAAGTGTCACTAAAATAGACACTAATAAATGCTGAATTGGTAAATCGAAGTGTTTGAACTCAGCTCTCATAAAACCAGGGCTGTCCAAAAGAAATGTAACATGTGCTACAACTGCAAGCCATATACATCATTAAGATTTTTTTTTAGCAGCCACATTAAAAAGCGTAGAAAGGAACAGGTGAAACACATCTTGACGTATTTTATGCAATCTAATATGTCCAAAATATTGCCATTTCAGCACATAATCAATATAGAAATTATTAGTGAGAGACTTTACATTCTTACTTTCACACTAGGTCTTTGAAGTGTGGTGCATATTTCATACTGACGGCCCATCTCAGTTCAGAGAGCCAAGTGCTCACACCTATACGCTTCTTATTTTTTGCTTTATTATTGTAATATAAGTTACATACAGTAAAGGAACACAAATCACGCATGTGCAGCTGGGCGGCCGTGGGTGGCTCCGGGCCGCTATGTGGGGTGGGGCCGTGCCTAGAAGGGGGTCCAGGAACTCGGGAGCTCGGTCATTCACCTTGCCCCCCACACTGAGGAGGTGCTGATAATGCTCCTGGATTGAACAAATATTAGAAGACAGTCTCTGGTCCTCAGGGAACTCGTGTTCAAAGATATGATGGGCACCTGAAAAATAAATGGAAATGAACACCCATCGTGTTATGTGGGGGCTGTGTCCTTCTGTTCCATGAACACTACATCCTGGGTCTGGCCTGGATTGCCCAAACTTCTACCAGTGAGTAACCCGCTGGAAAACATAAACCACGGGTCTTTTTCAGGCAGAGACCGAGTTCATAAGGGAGGTTGATTCCAGAGGCATGTGAAAGAGCAGATGGGGGAATGTGACCCAGAAATCAGGAAGGAGCTGCCCCCGGGCCAATCAGGAGCCCGAGAGCCCACCTGCTGGGGGGGTTGTCTCTGTAGCCCGGGAACCGCAAAGCCTGCTGGGACGGCAGGGCCTGCTGGAGTCGGCTGCGGCAGGAGCCAGAGGCAGGCTGGCACCTCTCCCGCCTTCTCCCCACTGGCAGACCCTAATCAGAAACTCGTTGGCAAGGAGCTCTGGAAAATATTATTTGCAGGCTCCAGCTCCCTGAAAACAGAGATGGCCAGGCAGTTGCAGGTGGGGGAGGTGATGGAGCTGAGCAGTTGATACCTGTCACTGCTTCCTCTGCCAGGAACACGCTTACCATCATCCCCACCTCAGGAACTCTTACTCAGCCTTTAAAACCCTGCTCCTCCGTGAAGCCTTCCTGGGTTGCAGCCAACTGCTTCAACCTCCGGGTCCCCTCAGCACCTGGCAGACAGCCCTTCACATCACTCAGGACAGGATCAGAGCACCCCCCACGCGGGACTGCCCGCTCTCTGCAGGCAGGGGCAGGGCTGCCCCAGCCAGGGCTGCCAGGGCTGGACAGGGTCAGCAGCCTCGCCTGACCAGCCCCTAAACCTGCTCCACCCCTAGGCAGTCCACCAGCCAGGAACCCAGGAAGGAAAAATACTCTGCTGGTCATGTGGGCCCATTTTACAGGCAGGGAAAATGAGCCTGGGGGCCTGTTCTCCAAACTGGGTGAGGCTTGAGTCTGAGTCCTGGAGTGCAGTCCCCAAGTGCACTGTTACACAGCAGCTCAGTGCTGCTGGATCCCATCAAGAGCAGCTCCTGGCCCTGGTGTCAGGGGTCGGGGCTCCAGAGTCTCACAGGGGCAGGATCTAAGCCCGGCTCTGCCACGGATTCACAGTGTGGCTTCAGGCAGGTTCTCAGCCTCTCTGCTGAATGAGGATGATAGGATGCCAATGTCCGTGACTGATGTGCAGGTTCAATGACACGATGCCCAGACAACGCTGAGCTGCCCCAACCACATTGTGACCCCGGTGGCCAGCTTTACTCCTGGCAGGGACCTTCACATGTGTTGTGCTGTTTACTCCTCAAACAACCTTAGGTTAGTGTGTTGTTCCCCTCATTTTACAGGTTTCACTGCAGAGCTGGGACTGGAGCCCAGGCTGCCTGCCCTCTCTGGGTCGCAGCCTCGCCCAGAGGAGGCTTCATCTCCACTCGAACCCTAACCCTTCCCAAATTGTTCTGGAACGCAGGGGGCAGAGGCCTCCACACAAGCCCTGGTGGGAGGTCCGATTGGGGCCACCTTCCCAGCCCTCTGGTTCCTCTCCTCTCCAGCTGCTCTTGTCGGCTCAGGGGGCCTGCCAGCTCATGCCTGGGCCTCAGGCCAAGCCTGGAAGGACAGAATGCTGATAGAATCTGGGAAGGAGACGCAGAAGGCCAGGCAGGGGCCACCTGAAAGACGTGCACCCTGAGGTCAGGACGGGGTCAGCTCCCTCTCCGGGCCTCCCGGCTCCCCCCACCCCGCAGGCCTGCGCAGGGACACAAAAACACACACCCGGGAACCGTGAAGTCCATAGGGACCCATTATAAGCAGCGGCGATAACAAAAGTGATGCCTCGCCCAGCCTTGAGAACACGGGACCTGCAATGGTACGCAGCACAGTGAATGCCACAGAACTAAAGTCAAGCAGAGGAAGCAGACACAAAAGGCTAGTGTCAACACAGCCCCACCCGCGGAGTTCATGACCAGGCAGGACCCATGGGCCTGTGGGAAGTCAGGACTGTTTTCCCTGGCGGGGGACAGACTGGACCGGGATGGTTTTTATTTTCTCCACCTGGGCGCTGGGTAAGCAGGGCCCATTCAGCCTGTGAAATGTGCCAACTGCATCCACATGTAACTCATGTAATGGTTCTCTTTTCCTACGTGTGGCCTATTTCAATAGAATTTCAAACAAATTCAGTTCTCGGAGGTGGGGACCCAGGTCTGGAGTTCTCCCCACTTCTCCTTCTGGGAGATGGGATACCAGTAGGGGCACCTCCAGGGACATTGTGAGGCTTCCACAGGATGCTACATGGCTGAACACGAGACCGTAAGGGCTGCAACGTGTGCGTCTCATTTGCCATGAGCAGTGCACGGCCCGTCAGTCAGTGGTGCACACACCGACCGAATGAACTTCAGGTTGGGGTCCTAGGCTCCCAGCCAACCCTCAGAACAGGCCACAGAGATGACCATCCCACTTCCCCTCGGGGAAGCCAAGGTTCGGAAATGTAAGACGGCTTGCTTGACGTCCCCCAGTGAGTGGATGGCAGAGCGGGAATCAGAATCCAGCTGACTCTTGTCCACGGTATCCCGCAGAAAGGCCTGGAAAGTGGAAGAGACAACTTGGTCCCCAGAGGCTGGACAATGGACACGGCAAGCCCTTCCCCCATCAGCACCCCCGTGGTCTGAGAAAGCCAGAGCTAGGGGGCGGGGCTCGTAAAAACAGGTACCACGTGACCCAGCAACTCCACTTCCAGGTTTGCCGCCCCCCCCCCCTGCGAGGGAAGGAGAGCGCGTGACCACGCAGAAAGGTGTGCAGGAATGCACACGAATGTTCCCAGCAGCATTATTCACTGTTGCCAAAAAGTGGGAACAAGCCAAATGCCCATCAACCGATGAAGGTATAATAAAATGTAGTATAACCATAAAATAAAGTATTATTCAGCAATAAAAATGAGTAAAGTATCAATACAGGTCACAACCTGGGTGAACCTTAAAAACACTACACTCAGTGAAGGACACCGGTCACAAGAGACCACATGCTGTATAATTACATTTATATGAAATGTCCAGAACAGGCAAATATATGGAGGCAGAAAGTCGATTGGTGGTTGCCTGGGGCTGGAGGGATGGAGGGACTGGAAGGGGTAATGGCTAAAGGGTGTGGGGTCTTTCTGGGGGGGCGTGGAAGGAACATTAAAGCAGATCGCCGGTGGGAAGTGAGACGTGCCAGGAGGAGAGACGAGGGCTCGGGGCACCAGGACCGCCCGGCAACCAGAGCCAGGGCGCTGAGCATCCTCTCGAGGCATTACCTGCATCAGCTTGCTGGACCCTCACAATGTACTGTGAGGCAGGAGCTAGCACTGCCTTCTTCACTCCATAGGTGAGAAAACTGAGGCTCAGAGAGGTTACGTGACATGGCCAAGGTCACATAGCTAGACCACAGTGGAGCCACAGCATTCGCTCCTAACCTCCTGCTCTGTTGTCATCTGTCACATGATATGGAGTTATGTCATCAGAGGGCTTTCTTTGACAGGAAAGTCAGAGCAAGCCTCTTTGGTTTTTTTTAATTATTTTTTTTTAAAATATATTTTATTGATTATGCCATTACAATTGTTCTATTTCCTCCCCTTCATTCCCCTCCACCCTGCACACCCCTCCCCCACCATTCCCTCCCTTTAGTTTATGACCACGTGTCTCAAGTTCTTTAGATTCTATATTTCCCATACTATTCTTACCCTCCCCCCTGTCTATTTTCTGTCTACCATCTATGCTACTTATTTTCTGTACCTTCTCCCCCCTTCTCCTCCTCCCACTCCCCTGTTGCTAACCCTCCATGTGATCTTCATGTCTATGGTTCACTCCTGATTTAGCTGTCCTTTTTGCTTGCTTTTGTTTTAGGCGTGGTTGTTAATAACTGTGAGTTTGCTGTCCTTTCACTGTTCATCTT